CTGACCCAGCACGCCCCGATGTTGAAGAGCTCATACTGTCAAGTAGGTCACTCTGAGTCACTTGGAAGGAACAGCAGAGAATATATCCCTGACAAATGATCAAATATCATGGGAACTCCTTATACTGCTGGGCTCAGGCTCTTGGCTACTGAAGCAGGGCTTGTGCAGCGGAACATGATGCCCGATTCTGCACTGTCAGTGGTTCCATTTTGCACAGTTCAGGGCCACTTGCACTGCCAGGAATGCAGGCTGGGTTACCTGAGCCATTATGCTGCACATTTACTGCAAGGTCCCCTACCTGAGCCTCCATAGCTCTTCAAAAACCCACCGCCAGGTCAGATTACCAAGCAAGCGCATAGAATGCATTGAATTGTATTGTTCTGCTTTTTGCCGCTGGGTGTGGGGAAAAAGTCAGACATGGATGTTTGAGTCTCAGTGTGGAAATAAGAAAGTTGGCACGAGTTTGGGACAGATGCAGTCACTAGGCTATGAATTAAAAGGATATTTAGTTGGATGACAAGTAGCGCTTGACTTGATAAGCATCTTTTCTAGTTGTTGCACTATTGTTGGCAACAACTAGAAAAGATGGCAGCAAGAATACAGCAAGAATACAGGTATGCTGAGCACATGTTATTGTAGTCAGGCAGATGCTGGCATGAGTGCTCTGTGCAAGAGTATAGATTCATCCGGTGTACTGCAGAAAAACACGTACCCTGGCATTTACATGAATGGGCAGGTTTTTGTCCTGAGAAGGGGACAGCTGCAGCCAGAAGAGCTGCAGTGCAAATATCAAGCGGCTTGAACTATCCCAGGGGGCGGCAACCTTTAACACTCAAAGAGCCATTTGGACCCGTTTCCCACACAAAAGAAAACACCGGGAGCCGCAAACCCCTTTTGACATCTAAATTGAAGATAACACTGCATATATCGTTTTTTACCTTAATGCTATGTATATCTTCATTATGATTTAGCTGCAGCTCTTGTTCAGTCACTAAAAACTGTTATTTTTAATCTTACGTTGTAAACTAGTAGGACTCCTTTCATATATTTTGAATAGCAGAACAGCTTCCTGCAGAGTCAAAGTCAGTGCTAAAGGGCTGCATGCATTAAAAAGCAAACCCCATAAGTTTGTCAGCAGTAAAAGCAAATGAATCTACCCACGTATCATTAAATGTTTGGTTTTCTTCAGAAACTTTTCTTCGATTTATCCATGGTTGGCGGGGGGGGGGGGAGCTCAGTAAATCGGTGTGGGTCAGCAGATGGGGCTGTGCCAGAGATATAGGTGTGTTTAGTGACTGATTAGCACATAAACAGTCAAGTGCTGTGAATTGTGACAGGTCCCAAGCGCAGCGTTTTAACATTCAGATGAAAGAGATTACATTGGGACAAAGAGAATCTTTTCAGCAGGTTTCCTGTAACATGAGAGCCTGCAGGAAGCTTGCTCCACTCTCTCCCTGCACAATAGCAGAGGAATGTAGCAATTTACTTAACCAGCTGGCACAGCCTTCCTGGCTGGATGCCTCATCATCACCTATTGGTATTTTGTAACTCGGAGCCTTGGTCCAGATCGGCGGCTGTGCCAGCGCGTATTTTGGGCGATGGAGCCACAGCAGGGGGATTCAAGAGCCACGTGCAGCTCGGGAGCCGCGGGTTGCCAACCCCTGAACTAGACGTTCTCCTGCTAGCCCTAACTGACTTCAGTCAGGAGGTAAGAGAGGCACGGATTCTCACCAGAATGGGCACTGTGTCAACCAAAGCCTGTGTGTCAAAAAAAAAAGAAAAAAAGAGGAACTCATTCCAAATCACTCAAGAAGGAGACCCGCAAGCTACTAACACAGGCAGGAAAAAACTTGCTCTAGCAAAGCAGAGAGCCAGTGTGGTACAGTGGCTAAAATGCTGGACTGTGGACAGGGAAGATCCAGGTTTGAGTCCCCACTCAGCATTAAAGCTCACCGGGTGACTGCGTTTGCCCCAGCATTGGGCAGTAGGTTTTTTGAGATTCTCAGAAAGTGATACCCCAGCTCCAGGTTTACTAAGAAGATGATTTATTATTTCTACAATATCAAATGCTAGCTTGACTTCCAATGCATTTATCAGCAAGCCACTTACACTGGGCAGTGTGGACCCCTGTAAGGTAGGTTTCCAATCAGCTGGCTTGAGACAGAGTCAGCAGAATCCCCTTTGAAAGTAGTCTGAACCAGAGCAGAAAGAAGGCAGCTAGCTTATATAGACTACAGACTTACAGTATTGTAATGCATGCATATAGCATTCTACATAATTAAAAGATAAGATTACATGAATAGTTTCGATACTACTATTTGCAAGATGTTACACAATAATAAAGTGCAGAGAGCTAGTAAGAGTATTCCTGTCTGGATGGCCAAGGTTCCACCTCTGTTTAACATCAAAGCATAGCTCATTACTACCTCTTGCCTGCAGAAGTAATGCCTGATGAGGAATGTTAGATGTGTAGTGTGTCTGTGCATTGTGTGCCATTTCCATCTCAGAAAGGGAAACATCTTTGTCAAGGAAACACTAGCTAAAGTTCTATTGTGTAAGCAAGCAACTAGACTGTTATGCCAAGTGAAGCAAGCATGTTGAAGAGCTACAGACTCAGGCCTGCCACAGTGACTTTGGTCCAGTCACAGATTCACAGCCCAACCTACCTCATAGGGCTGTTGTTGTGAGGATAAAATGGAGCTCTGTAAGCCACTATGGGTTCCTCATAAGAGGAAAAATGGTGGCATATAAATGCAATGTCATAATAATAACAACAACAAGAATACTTAGCAATGACTTTCAACAAGGTGGCAGGACAGCCATCAGCAAATCAGAATGGATACTCAATCCACATATTTTCAGGTCAATCACATCTTGATTCAGGATTCCAATCATGAATCCTGTTTTTGTTTCCTGCCAAAAAGAATGATCCAGTATCCAAATACATGACAAAGTTTCCCAGTCCCTTTGCAGAGGGAATAGACTCCCTCATATCTCACAGGCTGGACGGTCTACTCCTTGCTCCTTACCCCTATGTTGATTCTTGCACAGATGCTCAAGAAGATCAAATGAATGAGGGAAATGGTAATTCTAACTGCTCCACCTTGGACTCGCCATCTTTTATTCTGGGACCTCCAGTGTCTGGGAACACTAGAGACTCTTTCTCCAGAAGGGCTTTATAGGTTACAAATTGGCAAGCAGTTCAGACCAAACATGTCCAGTGGTCTCCAGTTCCAGATTGGCCAATCCTGGCTTCCCATGTCATGGCATCTTTAGAGAGTCATTAGTGAGGTCTTGTGGCTAAGTGTTTCGCTGGTATTTTCTGAGAATTGTTTCCTGTGACATTTGGGTCTTGCTAGATGTCTCTTTGACCTAATTTGTGGTTGGAGTTACCAGAGGTTTTCACATAACTGTTTCCCCTTGACATTGGTGACTAAGCTAAGTATTACTTTCCAAGCACCTCGGTGTCTTGCTTAATTTAGCTTCTAACTGACTAACTGATCTGCATCTTTAGTCACACAGAGCCTAAGTCAGGAGCTTCTTTCAGCAGCTTCATAGCTAGTGCTAAGGCTGGCTACCTAGATGTCATTGGCCCATGGCCTGGCCGTGGCCACGGTCGCTGGCTCACAGAAACAGTCTGTGTATGGTCTTCCTGCAAGGTACAGCAAGCAAGCATCATTTCAGAATGGCTGGCCTTTTTCTGACTCTGCATTGGCATCATCAGGAGGCAGCCCTCAACATCACCCTGGGCTGTGGCACAAAGATGTCCCTCTCTTAACTATAGGCACTTCCTTAAAAAGGCGTTGTTAAATGCACTAACAGTACACAGACTCCCAGCTTGAAATTTGAATTGGGTATTGATGACTTCATGCAGGCAACGTTGAGGTCTGTGGCCACATGTTCCTTAACATTTCTCACATTAAAAGTGATTTTTCTGGTTGATATTACTTCAGCAGGAAAGTGTCAACATTGATGATTCTTTCATCAGATCCACAACTGTGTGTCTTTCCCCTGGGCAATCCCCTTTTTATTCTAGAAGTCTGTTCTCTGTTCCATAAATTTTGAGAAGTTTCCTAAGCTTCTTTCTGCCCAAATCCTGTTCATTCTCAGGAGCAATTTTATATCTTAGTTGTGTGAAGGGCAATGCAATTGTACTTAGATAGGACTTTACTGATTATATGATCAGAACTTTCATTCCAGTGCTTTCAGGAAAACTCTATAGGCAACAAGGTCTCCAAATACATTATTTCCCTATTGTTAAGGGGATATATTGTGGAGACCTATAAAGCTCTGATAAGCTGCCTCCAGATACAGTAGTGGCCCTCTACACAGCCCTTAAAGAAAGTTTTTCTAGAGAAGAGATCTGTTGGGCAGCCACTCAATCTTCTGTACAAACCTTTGAAGAACATTATGAAGTTGATAGGTATGTTTCCACATTAGTGCTTTTTATTTTCTTCTCATGTAAAGCGCCCTAGAAAATTTTATTGATCTAAAAATATCTATCTGTAGATTAAAATATATTATGCTGCATCTTTGCATTGCTGCTGGCTTTTACATTTACTTTTTTTTCTCTGGCTTTATTTCATTTTAATTGTCATTCATTTTTTATATTATATCATAGGTTATTGTATTTTAGGGTTTAAAGTTTTGTTTTGTGAACTGCACCAGAGAGCTTCAGCATAGAAATGTACTCGATCAATAACTCATAGCCTGTCTAAAATTTAGATCTAAATACAGCCAAGCTCTTCTGAGCTCTTAGGTACTAACCCATACCTGGTAAAGGTAAAACTGAAATGGCAGACATTCTCCCCTGTGAGTTAAAATGCACAGAGCTGTGCAGAGAGAAAGAAAAAGAAATGAGTTCGTTATCTGTTACTTGTCACAGTAAGGAGCACTTCCTCCTTTTACTTCCTTGTGAAATCCTGGACTGACCAAGCTGAGCTCACTGTCAAACAGCTGCATTCTCGTAGCTGTTGTTTTACGTTTTCTGGAAGGCTGCAGCATTCCAACTCTTACGATCTGTGGATTTCAGGTTTTACCTCCCAACTGAAGATAACTTTTGGCAGAAAGAACTTCTAAATGGGATCAAAAGGACCAGGTAGGGTTCAGATTGCTACTTCTTTCTTGTAAGATAAAAGCTATGGCAGGGACCTCTTTTGATAGGACTCCTCACTGGTGTGAGTTTCCTTGTTCCCACTGCCCTGGGGCATCCATGTATCCATACAGAAGGATAGATTTAAAACATATATTCATTACCATGGTGGCATTCTATCAGCTTTCCTCAGCCTGATGCCCTCCAGATGTGCTGGATGCCAGTACCTCCCATCCTCAGTTACCTTGCTGGCTGTAGACAATGGGGTTGTAGGACACCACCTGGATTAGATGATTTGCCCATGAAACATTTTACTATTAGAGCTGCCATGACCATTTTCCAGAGCCTACACGATAGGTAGTAGCAGGAAAGCCTCGATGGCAGCCACAGCAAGGATAACCAGGTTCAGTTAGGAAAGACTCCTTTCGCCTTGAGCCTCAGCAGTTTTATTGAAAGATCACCCAGGACCCCTCCAGTTACTTACGGCAGCATGCTACCAGGTAGTGGTTCTCACCACCAGCCACAAAATCACAGCCCATGTACAGGCACTTTTATAACTTGCTAGTCACATACACCAATACAGAGTGTTACGTTTCCAGATAATCTTAGTACAATAGCATCCTGATGTCTTTAGGCATGACATAACGTTCCAAATGGATCAGAAATACTGATGACAACAGGATGGAAAACATTACTGATTGCTGTATTGATAGGTCAGTCTAGTAAATTCTTGACAGTTCAGATCAGCAGTGTCTGTCTGTTTAAACATGCAAATGTGTCTGATGGAGGAACCTTTCAGGAAATCTGTTTGACAACCACATCCAGCAGGGGTTTGTCTCTGTGGACTAGATGCTTGGGTGGGTCCGTCCCGAAACAAATGGGCACCATAGTTTCAGTTTTTCTGCAGCTGATGAGAACACAGGTATTTTCTCACTAATAATGTTAGCCTCCAGCAGCTTCTCAGTCTAGCTAAGAATGCCTTCTTCTTAAGGCAATAGCAATGCTAAACAGTGACTTGGCTTGGAAGGCTGGTGCTTTGTGAGAAAGAGATGCAGGTTTGATTTTATAACATAAAAGCACTTACAAGCAAATTTTCTACCAGAATTTATCTGAAAATTGCCAACAGTAGACACAAGTCTTTTTCTAAATTCCTGGGGGAAAGCCACACAGAACTCAATGGGACTTACTTCTGAGTAAACAGCTATAGTGTGACCTTGGTATGTGCAGCTTTTTCATCACTGCATCTCCAAGCCCAGTCCTAATTCCTGCTCATCCTGCTCATCCTCCTCATTTATTTATTTATTTTCTATACTGTCCAGTAACTGAAGTTCTCTGGGTTGTTTACAACAGCTCATTAAAATACCATATAAAGTGCACCGTATTAATACTTGATTTTTTTTAAAAAAAGATTACCATACAAATTTTAAAATCAAATTTTTAAAAAAGAAAAAATCATCCAGGATCACTCCCATTTGTTAAAACCACAGCATAATTTTATGACATATAAATTATGTAAAGTTAAAGGTGAATTAATATATAATAAATATCAGAAAATATAAGAAGACATCCTTGTAACTTGGAAATGTGGTGAATGCCTGCACTTTTCAAACCTGCAACCACAGTGGCTGGGTAAGCACCATAATGCTTGACAATCTTGTAGACTCCTTCCTCTGAACTTAGCAATTTTCCAAATATCCAAGTTGTGAACGGAGTGTGTATTTGTGATAAGTGCATGATTGCTGGGTGTTGGTTTCCCCCTGCCCCCCTGAATGAATGGTCCCTTAAGATGGCATGCTTACAGATGGCAAAACTGATCATTTTCCTTTTATTTTTTTTTAGCTTTATTCAATTTTATTTTTATTTTTTACAACTAAGAAAAACAATACAATTAACACAATAACAACAATTGTGACTAAACATCACCGATCAAGCAACACATCAGCATCAGTGTTTCCTCCACCAGGACCAATAACTCTAATTACTTAATGTAAGATCATGTATTCATTAAGGCTGCCCCACTTCCCTTCCAGAACTGCACTGACTCTTGTGGTGGTTCACACCCCTTTACTTTTATTAAAACACATTCAATAAAAGGTGTCCAAATATTTTCAAATTTATTTTCACTTGTCAAACCTTTTCCATTTAATATCATGTTAACTTACCAGTAATACCTATATTCCAGACTTCTTTATACCAGTCAACTATATATTTACCTTTTCCAATTCCTTGCTATTATTGATTTATCATCAATTCTTTAGTATTTTGTCCCATCTGTTCTCTAAATAATAATACTAATGCTAATCCAGGGTCAACTTCAATATTTACATTAAATATTTTACCAATTTCTTTAAAAATCGTTTCCCAAAACTCATTTATATATTTACACTTCCACCACATATGGAAATATGTACCTACTTCTTGGTTGCATCTCCAACACATGCTAGAATATTCATTATTCATGTAATTCAATTTAACTGGAGTTAAGTACCATTTCCAAACCTGTTTGTAAAAAATTTATTTAATTCTTATTGACATGCATTTTAAAATTCTCTTATCCCACATATTATTCCATTCTTTGGCACTAATATTTCCTTTTAAAGCTATTTCCCAAGACTCTTTAAAAGGGTCATAGCAATCTTCCTCTTCTTGTAATATGTTGTAGATTTTACTTGTCATTCCTCTTATCCACATATTGTCTTGTTTTTCTTTCTGTGAAATTTTATCTTCAAATTTAGTCTATTCTCTGCAATGTATTTTAATCCAATCCATAACCTTAATTGGGTCCTTTATTGTTAATAATGTATCATCTGTAAATAAAATAATCTTAATTTTATTCTCAAATCCTATACCTTCTGTTAAATTATCATCCCTAATACTATTTGCTAGCAGTTCTAAAACTAAAGCAAACAGAATTGGAGAAAGTGGGCAACCCTGTCTAGTACCTTGGCCTATTTGATATTTGATCTGTTACAACGTCATTTACCATTAAAATTGCAAAGTTTCCTGCATATAACTGATATATTTCTAAATTGTGTACCAAATCCCATTAGTTCTATTAATATCTCTATTATTGACCATTCCACACAATCAAAGGCTTTAAAAATATCTAATGCAATTATGCCAGCTTTTACATTTTTCTTGTGTATATATTCAATTATGCTTAATACTGTTCTAGTCAAATCTGCCATCTGCCTGCTTATTATAAAACCACTTTGATCCACATTAACATAATTACCAATAAAACTACTTATCCTCTTTGCGACTATTGCTGTAAAATTTTTTGCATCTTGATTAATCAGGGATATAGGTCTTACAAACTCCAGGATCCATCAAATCCTTATTGGGTTTTGGGATTAAAATTATTGCAGAGTATTTCCAAGATGCTGGCATCTCACCTCCTTCCAATATACTATTGAATAAAGACCTTAATTTAGGAATCAGCTTCTTCTTAAAAGTTTTATAATATTCTTGTCGTGGGCACCGACTCAGAGGAGTCTCTGGCACACGTACAGGAGAAGGAGGCTTCCCATGGGAACCAGGACTTGGTGCAGGAAGTTGTGTACCTGGTGCCCATTGTACAAAGAGCCCCCCCCACACACACACACACTCCCTGACAAAGTGTTTCAAAGAGAAGAAGACGCAGGGGAGAGCAGGACTCAAGCAGAGGCTGATAGTGAAATGGGGTTGGAGGGCGATCAGGCGACTGCTGGGGAAGCGGCTGGGCTGGTTGCAGATAGCGACCATGGGAATGCTTCGATTGGCGCTGTCCCAGACCAGAGGGGGTTTGAAGATGCTCGCTCTCGGAGACGTATACGCAGGCTAGGGCAATTGGAGTGGAGGGACTTAGAAAGGAGGAGGGAGAGAAGTTTGTCTGATCCACCCAAGGAGGGACGTCCCAGGTGAGTCAAAAGCATTTCATCATCTGAGCCCTCTCAGAAAGAGAGGACAACTTCGCCATTATCATCATCATTAAAAGCATCTCCATCATTTCTTGTCAATGTATCTACGTTTCGCAGAATAAAGGATTTTAGTTTCAACTGTTTGATTTGTTGGCTTTGTTGAGAAGGAGCGTCTCAGCCTCACGACAATTCTGGACCTAAACCATCTATTCCAGGTGTTTTCCCTACTTTTTACTTATCAATAGTATCTTCTATTTCCTCCTCTTTAACTGAAACTGATACATTTTCCAATACTGATAATTTCAGGGTTGTTTCCCTAAATTGTCATTGGCGATGTGGTCAATAAATGCTATAAAAAGTCAATTGTCCCACATTCTGAATGTTTTGAATTGCCAAATGCTACAGAGAAACACACTGTTCCATGGCACTTTTGCCCTTCCAAAGGCATACCTGGGCTTCTCATAAAATGTGTTATTGTCCTCTCAGGCTGCCAAGCAGGGAGGACCTGGAACATTTTGCCTATAATTTTTCATATATAATGGAAATATAATGGATTATTCATCTAATATGTGTGTAAGCAGTCTCATGAAAGGGAAGCTGTTTTTATTTAAACATGGATGCATATAGCATAGGAAAAGGCAGCAAAATGAAACTTTCTCTAATGTAGCTGAAAGTAGAAAAATAATGTTATGCGTTGCAGGGGTTGTAAATTATGGATGCCTTTTAGAAGGTTATTTGTTGTCACCTTTTAAACATGTTTACACGTTTTAGAAGTGTTCGAAACCATTTGTGATGCTTTTCAGTGGCACTTCAATTACAGCCCTTCAGAAGGAAAGTCCTTTTTGAAACACTTCAGAGCATAGTAAGCTGTTTTTTTCAAGCACCCAAGGCTATTTTCTCTGCTGTTTTGGGAGCCTCCCACAGTGAGCTTCACTCACTCATTGAAGATTAGATCCCAGTGAGCCTGCTACCTCTCAAAGCCCTGATCTGTTCAGTTCGTGCCTTGCTGGTTTGCTTTGGAATCAAGCCATCTGTTGCTGAGATGGAGTGCTTTGCTTGAAGGAGGCTGGTGGGACCCGCCTGCCCATTGTGTGAAGTGAAGCAACTGGGTTAGGGGGAGATGGTGGCAAGGTGCGGCGGACATAGCTCTGGCTTTTGTGTGCCTGAGTGCACTGTGACCGCTGAGCCAGCTCTTCCCCTCTGGTGCACTGAAGGATGCCGAGTCTGTCCTGCTGTTGGACTGCTAGTTCAGTGGGCTTCTGTACTTGCAGCTGGAAGGAGTGCTATCCCATCCTTCACCTCAGGCAAAAAAAATTGTCTTGGCCCAGCCCTGGAGACAGGAGTTCATTCGTTCAAATCTCTGGCCATATAATGATAAAATCTCTGGCCATATAATGAAGGGACCTCCCTGCACCACTATAAAATCCTCCCTAGGAGTTAAGAGACTACAAGTTTTGTCCCACAACTGTCCATTCCATGGAACTCATTTCAACTCCATGTAATACCTTTGGGACTGGCAGAGGACAGAAAATCCTGGCCAGATTGAACCACTCAGGTATGGCTGCAACTGGCCCTTGCATTCTGCCCAATGCCCAGAGGCCAGGGGTGGGCCAGCAGACCCAGGCAGACAAGAGCAGGGCCAGGAGTGTGATTTGCTTTCAGGGGTAAAGCATCAGGAGTTTTTGATAAGCCACAATGGTGGTATCATGGGCTGTCCCCCCCAACTTCTCTGTTCCCTCCCAGCTTAAATGTAACCCTCAGGAAAATTGATCTTCTTCCCCCAGGTGCTGGGAAAAGAAAGCCCTGAAAAACTTGGCAACATTATGCTACTTCTGAACAAATTGCATCCCCTCCTTTTCTTTTTCATGCAATCTCAAGTCTTCCCAGCCAAAGTCCATAATTTTGATTACCACAATGCCCTTTGCCAGTTCACTGTTTTATGGCAGAAAGCAAACATAGCTGTCATGGAATAAGAGAGGAGCTCTTGCTATGGAGCAGTAACTGGTACAGAACAGAGTGCAGGGAATGGTAGATCCTCCCAGTGAAGGGATGGAAACAGCAAAGTCCTACAAGAATATGTTCCGAGGTGTGAACTTTTTGATTCAAATGCACCGGAATTAGGAGTAAATGATGAGATGGCCAAACTTGCTGATGACACCAAACTATTTTGGGTGATTAGAACAAAAAGGGACTAAGAAGAGCTCCAGAAGGATCTTTCCCAATGAAGAGAATGAATCACAGGGACTGCGGCTAGGTGAGGGAGATACAGTCAGTCTGTGACATAGCTGTGATCTATCAGGATTTCCCCAGTGTCCTGTTCAGCAGCCATCCAGCTTCCAAGCAACCACAAAGCTGCATATTATATCTGGCTCCACTCTTTCAGCAGGATGCATCTATAGTGGTGTCCAGTTTGTTTCTGGGCATAACTCAAGGTGTTGGTCATGACCTTTAGTGGTCTAAATGACTTGCATGTGAATCCCTTGGAGGCCATCTCCTTCGTTATGAGTTTGTCATAGAATCATGGAGTACTAGAGTTGGAAGGCGCCTATCAAATCCCTCCTCAGTCTTCTCTTCTCAAGGCTAAGATGCCCAGTCCTTCGATCTCTTTGTCTACTTTTTAAGATCTGCAGAGAAGAGTTCTCTGTGAGTATTTCCAAATGGAGGGTTGCTATCACTCTCAATTAAGCTGGCCATTTATGCATTGACAGAGATAGGAAATGCATCACCTGAAGTGGGGGAAAAGAAGCCACCAGTGTGCATGGCATGCAAATACATTAATGTATATGTTCACATGCAAATGTCAAAATAATACCTATAACTTAAATAGAAATGTAATTCATTTCACCATAGTGAGGAAGACTGGAGGGGCAACAGTTCACTGGCAGAGCATCTGTTCTACATGCTCCATTTTGGTTCCTGGTCCATGCTCCAAAAGTCTCCATTTTGGTTCCTGGCGCATCAAGGTAGGGCTGGGAAAGCTCTCTGGCTGCAGACCTGGAGACCCATGGCAGCATAGACAATATTCTGCTAGGTGGAGCAAGGAACTCACCTGGTATACAGCAGCTTTTAGTGTCCACAGAACTGCGCTAGATGAACCCAAGGTCTGGCTCAATATAAGGCAGCTTCCGATGTCCCTCGGACTCACTTTGCTGTCAAGGTGCTACCTACTGATGGCCCCAATCTCCCTTCTTATGGCGCTTTCTCTTTAAGCAGCCTGGAGAGCTTTCCAAACAGAGGACCCTATCAAATAGAGGACTGTCCTCTCTGATGGCCCTTCAGATAGAGGACTGCTGTCTGTAAAGCAAGACACCTGGCCACTCCAGTCCTAATCAAAAGGCAGTTATTCCATCCTTTGCTTCATGCAGGTTTTTTTTCCCTCCTAAGAAAACATACGGCAGAAGCCTTGAAAAGCATGGGAGGGTTACAAATGGAACATAATGGCCTCTGGGCCTCCAGTAAAGTTATGTAGAAGAGGCAGGGTGATTGCACAATAAAATCCTCTTCTGGAAGCACCACGTGTCTCAGCTTGCAATAGTGATGGAGGTGTGACTGGCTGGGATGCAAAAAAGAGCCTTCTTTGTATCTGTGCCTAGATTATGAGCCTCCCTGCCAAGAAGACTCATCTGCCCCACCACCCCGTGTCCCTGCTCCACTGCCTAGTTAAGATTCTTTATTCTGGCAGGCATAGGACCAGCCAGATAGAGGAGTTCTAATAAACTGAGCCATTGCTTTTGTACCATTTCATCTGTTCTGTTCATCTTTGATTTTATTGTTTTGTGGCACTGCTTAATGTGTTGCGGTTGATTTTGTTGTTGCTTTTAGCCTGTTACAAATTGCTCTTAAGCATTAAGCTGACATTGGAAGAGCTGAGTATAAATCCATGGCAATTACTCAATTGAAGAAAATTGACAGGGAAAAGTAGCCCTTTATTGTAAATGTAACAGTAACCCTTTCAGTAAATGTGTTAGGATTTTGTTGTTAAAATCTTGACTGTACTTTGTGGTAATTTCAATCCTTCACTTCAGTAACATGCGGACATATTTTGTACTTTTGATTATCTCCTCCTTCAGTTTTCCTCTAATATAAAACTTATGCTGGGTAAAAATCTCACATTTGGCTATACTTTCTGAAATTACTTGGTGCACTAAACAATACAAATTAAGGATATGGACAGGGCATGTAATCTGTGCATTGCATTACATTTCTCCTATTTATTTCAATTACATGAAACACCATAGTTCCCTGTGGTGTACTTCTTTAATATCTGAATGCCTAATGAACCAGATATTACCTAAACAAAAATATGCATAGTGCCTTTTAAATCGGTAATAAAGGTGTGTGACAATCTATAGTCCATAGATTGACAATCTATAGTTTCCCTGATTTAAAATAACAGCAATCATATGTAACTTCTCCTATACAGTATATGGTAGATATAAGAAAAGTAATATAAATAATTTGAAGACTTCAAACATCGACACTTCTATCGTTATAGATGTTGAAGGAAGTTAAATTTTAGGGTGGCAGTTGCTTGCAAAAAGTGGCTATCTGCACCAGTTCATATACATAAGGAAAGCCATGCAGTGTTTTTGTTTTAATGTGTTCACAGTCAGTCTCTAAGAATTGGCCAGAGCTGGGAAAAGCACATTCCTTCATTTGGCCTGGGTTTAGTGGTTACAGGGCTGAACATGGACTAATCTCCACTTGACCGTAAGGCTCATTGGGTGACTGTGACAGTCACCAACTCTCAGCCTAACCTACCTCACAGGGTTGTTGTGAGGATGAAACGGCAAAGAGGGGAAAGAGTGGATATAAATGTGAATAAATAAATCAAGCACACCAAATTTCTACAGAGCTATGTGTTTCCTGGGTAATGGCTCAGAATGGCTGAAGATCTTTCCACAGTAATTCAATTTAACAACATTTAGGAAGGGATGCGGCACAGGACAAATACAAACCCTGTCGTGGGAAGCGTAATTTCCATTTTAGAGCATGCAATAATCTGCTGGCACAGGTCCCCACTAGAATATGCAAGCCACATTGCATCACAGAACGGAATGAAAACATAATGAAGACTCACCAGGCAGGTTTTTCCAGACAGCTGCTCACTACGAAGGGGGGTGTGGAAAGCTGGCTTATGAAACTTGATTTCAGCTGTCTCATCTGGCCTATGTAGGAGCGCCGTGTGAAGAGCTTGTGCAGGACCTGTACATGCCATGGGTAAGAGTCTAGCAAGATGTGAGGTTTGTACAGGTCTTTTCCTATTTCGGAGTTACATAAAGAAAAACAGCTATATTTAAAGGATACAGGGAAATAGTCAGGTCTCAGCTGTGGGAATAACAAAGTTTGTATTTTTTTTTCACCTACTGGTCTGTTAATCCATTCATTCTGCTTTTCTGTTTCATCACAAAACCAAAATCTGAGATCTACAAGAAGCATATCCTTTCCCACATTTCCTCTTCATAACCTCTAGGTGACTCTATGTTATAGCTGAATAGAAGCAAATACATGAGAGGAAATCATGCTTTCTTTTCCCAATAGAAATAATACCTCATTTTCCATGCTCTAAAAAATTAATAAAAGAATCAGAAAGCACTGCTTACTCATCGAAGCAAAACTGGAGGGCCATGATGTCTTCTAAAGAATCCATAAGCAACTGTGAGTAGAGAATGAGACGCACACAATAAATGCCTCATGTAGAAAAGCTCTAAAAGTGCCTCTCTTTTCCTTTGATTCTTCACAGGAGGTAATATCAGAAAGAAAACTAATTATGGTGCCACTGATTCACCAGAAGCAAATCGGCAACAAGAAGACCAAGATCAAACCTACCTGAATGAAGTCATTCCCATTCCAGATGTTGCAGAAGTAAGTATTTGGCTGGGATGTTGACACATGATTCTGTCATTCCCCTGGGCATTTTAGCCTGGCTATGGGATGTACAGGGCAGTCAGCTGCTCACCTGTTCTGTGGAACTAGGCATGTCGGGTGGATTCCTTGGAATGATAACAGTGCAATGAGAAAAGACTGAATGCATGTAACTGGGTAGGACTAGGCAAGTTGAATCAAGTCAAATTTATATAAGAAGTTTTCAGACTATTTCAAACACAATGAACATTAAAGAAAAATGATAACTGCATGGGCTCTAAAATTAACTATGAACATGAAAAGTCTAAAGTTGAAAGAGTGATAGAATATTAAGACAGAATATTAAATGCCTTTCGGTAAAATAAGATTTTATAAGCCCGACATAAATTTAACAAACTGTTACATGGCCCATTTAATTAGGCAATTTGTCCTTTTCCTTTTTTCCTTAAACTGGCTGCCTTCACCACAAAGAGGGCAACCCCTCAGTCACACGCTGATGAGACCCCAGTAAGAGAAAATTCAGCCTCTCCTCAGCTGCCAAATTTCCCATATGTCCAAGATAAATAATGTTCCCTGGAACTGGAATAAAACCTGCATTGCAGTAAATAGTGGGCCAGATCTTCCACTTCTGATGTGCCGCATAAGCTGAGCCTGTCATGCACTGCTGTGCCATGGCTTCTGCCTCGATGCATTATCATACCTATTTGTTTGAATCACAGACAGGTAAGGGCTGTTCATTGATTCCCTTTCATTGGGAATAATAGATTTTTCTTCCTGGAACTGGGTTTTACTAGCCTCACCAACCGTTTCATAGATCTAGCCTTTGACAGGGTAGCTATGTCCACCTGCACTCTGGTGTCTAGTAATCTTTGTTTTGAAAAAATCACATGTTGGGAATGGAAGTAATTAAAGTACCCATAGTAAAACCATAGCTTAATAACAATTTTGACAAAATTGTAATACCAAGATTTTCCAAAGTTTGAGGCACCTCTTCACTAGGCATGAGCCCTGCATTGCTCACTTGATCTAGCTTGCAAGAGTGTTTAAACAGTTTAAGATGGATCCAATCTGAGACTGCCTTTATTCCAAATTTGGTTCCACTTGCATGAGCTGGTGTGAATCTTGACACTCCTAAAATTGAACAAAAGAAGCAATTCTGGACATTTTCAGTTTCATTATTATTGACAAAAGCTCTAATTTCTGCATCAAAGGTCAGTACTGGTGATATCTTTGCCTGAAACATTCTCACAACTGATTAGGATGAGTTGAAGTTAGGTTTGTGAAGCAAATTTATGGTCACTTAGTCCTAGGAACTGTGGTCCAGCTAAGTCTATTAACCCCAACAAACTTCAACTGGTTTTATTTACTTTCTTGTCTCTAACAAGTCAGCAGTACATCTAATAAAACTCATCCTGGACTCTTCACCATTCTTCCAATCTTGTGAGTATTGCTCCAGTTCTAGTGTTCAGATCACCCAACACAATTATTAGGGCATTAGGAAATCCTATGCTTAATTCTTTGTCATGTTTCCTAAAGGGCAGTACATAACAGGAAGATAATACTGAGAACTTACTGGAGAAATATAGGTATTCACCAAATTAAAATTAAGCATGGAGTGTTTAGCTTGACTATGATACAATCTGGGGGCAATCAAGATTTGTCACCATTTCTCCTTCATATCTTAAGTCATCTTTAATGACAGTTGTGAAGCCACCTATCAGTCCTCCTTTGTCTTTGATTTTCCTGAGTGAGTAAACCCATGTTTTATACCCTGGTAGCAAGTTCTCCCTAAAGATGGAAGCTGTGCTTTTGGATGAGCAATCAAATCAACGTTAGGCAGAAATTTCATCAAACCAGGACCATGATGGCAGGTCTTCCAGCCAGCTACATTCCACGAAAGAATTTTAACCTCCAAATTGTGGCATGATGTTCAAAACTACTGGGTGATAGTTGTGATTGCTCAGCCTTATCTGTTTGAGTTGACAGGGGGAGAAGTAATGGCAAGTTCCCCAGTCCTATGTGAAGCAACCCATCATGTCATTCCATTTTAACTAACTTTTCCAGCTGAGCCAATAGTTGTTCCCCACGTGACTCCAAGACACACAAGTTCATCTTTAAGGGGACTCAACTGACTAATGTTGGTTTAACAATGCCTATTCCAGACTGTGCTAGATAACTGCAAAGCCTTTTACTTTCCAGCTCAACTTCTTCTTCCAGATACCTCATTGCAAGCCAGTTTGTACCACCATGAAGGCCCCTCTTGCATAGTTTGTTGATATAATGTGGTGATTCTTAACTATGTTCAGATCCATGTCAGTCGCTCAGGAATGTCTCTCTGCCAGAACCTGCACTGTTCTTCCTTCTTTCCCTTTAGTCATAAGATCACCAGCCACAGAACACTTACACAGTTGGAATTTCCTTGATTGCCAGCTCCTATTTCATCCATCATCAGCTGGTTGCATCCCTCCTCTCTCACCTTTAAACCTGCTATTTCATCTGCTACCCAAGACTGTTTTTTCATTAAACAATTTCTCTGTAAATTGAATCCTTCCAAACCTGTGCCTGAGCACTACTTGGCAATGTCCAAAATGAATTCCATAGAGCTTTTTCCTCTGGAATAAAAGTTCCAGCACTTTCAAAAACAGTTTGCTGTGAATCATAAGGAAGGTCTAGTTCTTTCCTGTTTGACCCCATAATCTCAGACTAGGAGTACCAGGGGACAGAACCTTGAGTCCAGTTTAGGTCTGTAAGGTTTTTAGTGCTATTCCCAATTTGTACCCTTGTGTTGAAGCATAATATAAAGAGACAGATGGGGTCTGATGCTTGAAGAATTTTAGTATGCCTATCCCATTTGCTATAAAGATTTCTTTGGCTCTTTAAATACAAGTAGCTATATGCAATCTTCAAATCCAACCACAGCTCTAATTTCATTGAAGTACAGATATTGCATAAAAGTAATATCCTTGGGCCTTAAAAATCCATGTTTTTTAAGGCCCATGGAGCCTTAAAAAAATCGAGAAAAAATCGAGATATGCAAGCTGTGTGGTATGTAGTAGAAAGAAAATCTTTAGATTTGGGATAATCATCAAATACTAATTTTTGTGAAATCATCATCGAATTCCAATCATTCCTTAAATAAATATCTAGCTGTGATTCAGCATAATACAAACATCATCCTCCAACTTTTCAATACTGGTACCAAGCATGTTTGCCCATGGATCCCACATTGCTTCCATGTCAGAAACATTAACTCTTCTTCTTTCCGTTGGATCTTCTCCTTTGGCTTGTCTGCTGTAGATTAACCACTTTGACCAATACTTTTTCCTCTTTCCCTTTTTCCTTAGAGACTTTCCGCATCAACTTTTTAGTATTTACATTTGAGTTTGATTCTAGAAATTCAAACAATGTTTTAGACTCTTTTTCTGACAGGAATGAACATTTTTCTCCTGCTTTCTTATGTTTTTGATATTTTTACTTTTCTTCCGATGCTTGTATTCTTTCTTTAAAATGTCAGTATGGACCTTTGAGAATTAGTTTGAGGTCTTTGAAGATTTCTTGGCTGTTGTCCTGACTTGAGCAATGCTTTTGTTATTTCCTTTTATCCCAAAACCTCTCTCTTGGGATTTATAATTCTCCTCCAGTGTCATTTATACCCCATTACTTTCTGGGAGGAAAATTTTAATGACAGTTAGATCCCTACAAACCATATGAAAACATCCTTCAATTTAGACATTTCTTCCTCTCTTTCCCCTGTTTTGTATTTTAAGACTGGAACATTACAAGCTAACTCAGCTGTCCATTGTCTCAGTATTATCCACCCACTGCAGTTCTTCTACTGCAGATAAGTATTATTCAGGAACCAGCTCTGAGTCCAGATTTATCAAGACTTTGGAAGTCCTGGGGTCTTGTAATGTTCCTTTAAGATCTACCAAACAGTCCAGCACAGATGACATATGTAGTAAACCATCCTGTGGTTTTCACAGCATATTCTCACTCTCCTTCCCATCCTGCTTCTTAACATATTGTGTAATTGTGATTTGTTTTTTCCATGGTTCATGTAGGCCCTACTGAAGGCTGGGATGAATCCCTAGATCTTTCTATGTTTTTCTGGTGAACACCATCATCCTAGCATAAACTCTAATCTTATCTTGAACTACTTCCTACACCAGTTTGATCATTGCCTTAACACAAGGCAGACCAGAATTTCTAATAAGAGCAAACAAAAAAACAACTCTTCTTGCAGCAGCAGCAGCTCCTCCAAGTTGTTATTTGGAGAGCTGAAGTGAAAAATGGCCAATCCTAAACAGAATAATCAGTTGTCTTTATGAAGGACATAGTTATGTAATAATATAGTCAGCCATTCTGGATGGGCCTAAACACTCATTCAGAGAAGAAGGAACTTTTTCCTTGCCATGGCAAACTATCTTGGTACAAAAGACTCATTCAGTGGCCTTGTTTGTTGCTGAATGATCCTAGTGTGTGATATCAGAAACATGTTTTCTAATAAGTAGGTGTGTTAGTAACTTAGCTGTTAGTAAGTATCCAAGGTCCATACATGGTTTAGATGTCTAGGAAAGTCCAGCTTCTGTATGTAAAGCTGAGGAAGGTTATGGTTGGTTGCTGGAAATGTTTGGATACTTAGCAAAATTAACAAGACCCTAAAAAGACTGTTGCACCATTTAGAAGATCCATAAAAGAGAAAATGCTCCCAGGTCTGACTTCTTCAATTACCACAGTGACATGATTGGGGGAAAGGCTCACTGGGAGAGCACTTGTTTTACCTGCACAAGTTCAGGTTCAATTCCCAGCATCTCCAGTTAGATCTGGGGAAAATCCTGCCTGGAAATGCTCAAGACCTCTTCCAGATCAACTTACACAAAACTTGGCTAGACATTAAATGATCTGATAGGCAGTTTGCAATGTTCCTATACAAAGCCAACCATAATTGGTCCAATTCTCCCTTCTGTGCAACTCCAAAAGGCTGCAGGGGAGGGGTCCTCAGTGCAGGACCCATGGGCAGCATGACACCCACAGCCACCTGCAATGGTGCCCCTGAAGGGGTCCCCAGTCTGGCACCTGCAGGCACATATAAAATGTTTTATAAAATTAAATTGCCATTATGATGCTTTTACATATACATACATATGTGTATATATATCCATAACATCTTTCTGGCAATTATACATAGTCAGACCAAATAGGTATCCATTGAGAAGAGGCGTGCATGTGCCACCCATTCATCTCTTGAAACTGTTGCATGGTCCTCTGATGATTGCATTTTAGGAAGTGAGTGTTTTATCCTTCCAGTTTTGTAATAACAGCCTTTTAACTGCCAACAAGGTGGAGCCAATCCATTTCCCCTTCCACTTATTAGTTTCCATGACGAAGAGAAACCATTTCAAAGAGATTATAGATCAGTGAATATTAAAGGCAGCTCCAATACAAAATATATATCCACCCAAGAAGAAGCTATTATTGGACATAGTCAAAATCTATATTTGAAAGAAGCATTTGATTCATTGCACCAGCAGCAATCAGCCAAACTAGACAATCCCTTAATAAAAAGATGTTACAGTATCTGACAGGCATGAATCAAAATATTTTGCTGAATAAGATGCAGACTAGATCCATATTCATGACAGAGAGATGCCCAAGCAGTGGTTCATTGATTAGGCATTTTGCAGCAATGCACATAGCAGTTTCTCAGATACCCAGATGGGACCAGGGGTCCAAAAAGGTAGGAAACCCCTAGCATGGGGCCCTAAACCTGGGCCTGGTAATCTGAAAATAGCACCTTAAAAAGTGGTTACTATTTTGTGGTCTATTACTTCAATGTTTATTTCCTGTCATTTGGTGCTCTTAGAGTGCAGTCATGCATGTTTAGGCATGGTGCTGCAGAATGCTGGCGGTTGTAGGATTTCTGCTCTGTCTAAACAGGTACAGGATGGTGCCCTTTAAGCAGCATGTTCTCACTCTCTAGCACTAGAACTCACATCTTCACTGCGGGAAGGGGAGGTGTTTAACGTAGTACATGGAAAGGCTACAGCTCTCTTTCCTTTGTGTAGAACTGGATGGGATAGGGTGCTACAGGATGAGGACCATCAAACATTATATTGCTAACTGCAAACTGGAACCCCCCCCCCAAGATATTTTGGAAAACAACCCCCATCCTACCTGACCTTTGCCCAAACAGACTGAAGTCTGCCCAAAAACATCTGGAGAGCAGCTGCTGGGAAGAAGCCTGCACTGAGACATTTCACTTCTGATGAGGAACTGATTCTGCAACAAACATTTGGACCTGACTTGAATGCAATGCAGTTGCAATATACTTTCTCTGCCATTCCAGAAGGTTTTCTAGGACTTTTATTCATCACATTTGTTCAGATGTAGTGGGCAGAGTGCTCTTGCAGGCTTGCTTGGGGTTTAACTGGGGTAGAGGTTAGAAAGAAGGGGTTTAAAGGGATTTCCAGGTATGCTTAGTATATTGCATACAGCAATCCTACACATGTTGACTAATCCCACTGGGTTGAATGGGGTTTGCTCCTAAATATGTGGGTATAGGACTACAGCCTCCAGCTTTCCGTCTTTAAAGGGAGACAATAACTCAGTCTCTTTTAAGTAGCTGAGACAAGGAACAGAACTTGCTTATAGAAACTAAACAGAAATATTGTGATTGTCTTGTGCCAAGTGACCTTAGCCAACTTGCTTTCAGAATAATTCATACGACTGTTATATATTTGCACAGTAGAATTGTTTGAATGTGTGCATTTCTCTGCCCTGACTGTCATTGCTGAGTTTCTGGAGGATTTTAAATATTTGGCAAAGAATGAGGTGACAAAAAGCTAAGAAGGAGAAAAAGTACTGAGTTGGGATGAAGACTCTAGATTGGGTGCTAAGATTGATTTGGAGAGAAGGGGACTTGTGCATTCGGTAAAAGCTGCATTTTGCAAGCTGGAAGCATGATTGCCTTGTTAACATACTGCCCAGCCATCTCCCTGGTGGCATTCGAATTGAAAGAGGAGCGTCACCTCCCAAAATATGATACTCAGTATTACCTCAGTTGAATGCAACTGGTCTGATGTAAAATGAAAAACTAATCAATCAGGGTTTTAGTGGACAATTGGTTATTGTTGTTATTTATATCCTGCCCATGCCCACTGATTAAGACCCAGGACAATTTAGCTGTTTTAAATATAGTGTTTTGTAAAATGCCTTTAGTCTTTTTTTAAGAAAACCATTGAAGAAATCTAATAAATGATAATTAAAGTGGTCATGACCCTTCCCCCTTTTCACTGACCGCTCTCCCTTTCCCTTCACAGTCTGGTTTCAGTTTTAGAAAGCTCTGGGCTTTCACGGGGCCCGGCTTCCTCATGAGCATTGCCTACCTAGACCCAGGAAACATTGAGTCAGATCTTCAGTGTGGAGCTGTTGCTGGCTTTCAGGTAAGTGCAGGAGGGCGAGCCATAGGAGCAATGCGGGTGCCTGTGGGACCCATGGACTGGCTGCAGGTCTCTCCTTGCATCAAGAAACAAGGAGTTGGCTAGCAGGGACACCGGACGCATCTGCCGGCCCTGTCAGGCTTCTCTGGGTCTAACTGCAATCCCCACAGTAGCTGGGAAGGAAATGAAATTTCCCAGCATCAATTTATTTTTGTGAGCTAGCTCACAATTTGTTTGTAGTGCACAGTATTTTGGAGTGCCTTAGTTTTGAATGGGCAATCAACACCCATTCACGACAGAGAGAGACAGAGAGAGCAAGAGCGAGCAAGATATCCTCGCTGCATCTCCTCTTCATTCAGAGTGGCTTGGCAGTTTGGGGTCCATTCTCTCCATGCTAAGTAGCCACCAGACCCTGCTGCGTACAGCCTACTTGCACCTGAGTTTATATTAACAACATAAGAAGAGCCAAGAAGCTGTGTTGGTCTGTGTGTGCACGTGTGTGTACATGCATGCGTGCACATGCCTGTACATGTAACTCAAAGACCAGCAAAACATCTGATTAAGAACATTTCTGAGCCTTGCTGGATCAGACCAAGGGTTGATCTAGTCCAGTTTTCTATTTATGAGGGGCAAAACAGCTGCCCACGGGATCCCATAAGCAGGACATGAGTGCAATAATACCCTGCTGCCTGAGTTCTCCTGCAATGGATGGAGATCAAAACACTGCCTCTGATACTGGTGGCGGCCATCAGGACTAGTAGCTATTAATAGCCATCTCCTCCATGAATCCGTTCAATCCCCTGTGAAGTAGGTTTGTTCTGTCCTTTGCTGTGCTGTTGCAGACCCCACCCCAAATACCACATTACCATGTTCCCTTGTTCTTCCCCACAGCTGCTTTGGGTCCTGTTCTGGGCCACAGTCCTTGGCTTGTTGTGCCAAAGACTGGCCATCCGGCTTGGGGTTGTTACAGGCAAGGACCTGGGAGAGATATGCCATTACTACTATCCCAAGGTGAGTATAAGCACTTAAACAACAGAGAAATGTGCATTTAGGCAGCAAATAGCCAGCACTGGCTGCAGCTTCTCAGTTTCTGCTGAGTGGGGGAAAAGTTGGCTTCCTTAGCAATTGCCAAGTCACAGATATCTGTATGCCTCTCTTTGCCCCCTGATACTCATCCCCTGTTGTGATGTGCGGCCCTTCTCCAAAGTAAACACACTGCTTCAGAGTTCCTTTTCTCAGTGCTTTATTGTTTCACATCCTTTTTGTCAAACATGTCTGAGTTCACTCAGAGTAAAGTGTTGAACCCTCTCGGAGAACCTCCCCTTAATCTTTGTCCCATTTAAGAGACTTTCTCCGTTATTTGCTCAGAGGTGAGGCACTGGCATTCCTCGCCTGTCCCCATCCCTCCAGCAGCTCCAGCAACTGAATCTCCCACCTGTGTTGCCTCCCAGCAACCAGCAACACCCCCTTAAAGGGAGGGGCCTCTACATCTGACAGAATATTCAGCTCCCGGTGCATGTCCTGGGCAGCCTCTGTCCCCATTTGCTCACTTCTCCCTTTGGACCTGGGTCAGCAACAGCACTTGGAGGAAAAATAAGATGCCTAAGGGTCACTGTTCCTTCCCTCTGCATCTCTCTAGGTCAACCACAGTTCCCTTATACACACCTTAGACACTACATTTGTCGATGAATAATGTTCTTCCATATCCAGCCCTGGGTGGTGATTTAGTCCCGGAATCCTGAAATCCTTGTTGTTCCTTTAGGCAAAGGGGATGCTGCTCAAAATGGGATGTGGGGGGTGTTTTATGACCTGTTCCTCCCTGCATCTGTGATCTATTTCTATTGTTGTTATTCTTACAATATGGCTCTGGTTCTGTTTTCTACAGTTTCCCCGTCTGCTGCTATGGATCATGATAGAAATTGCCATAATCGGCTCTGACATGCAGGAAGTGATTGGTACAGCGATCGCCTTCCACCTCCTTTCTGCTGGACGGTAATTATCTCCATCCTTCAGTGGCAACACATGAGGCAGGCAAAAGAAGGGAACAGGTCTCAAAGAGATGGCAGATTACCATCTGGCTACCATCTGGCAACACCAAGCCCATGTTACACTAGATTGAGCCACTGACTCTTTTCATATTGCTAAGGTTGGCGGGACCAGTGCTGCCTTTCTTTTCTTCCTTTGTGGGACCAGGCATAATTGTTACCCACTGTATAGTGAACAACCTGCTTGCAGATTAAGGGCAGATGGATTACAAGCAGAGGGATGCTTCCCATGTCCTAGATCAGGATAGGCAACTAGGTGATTCCTAGGGGATTTGAGTTACAACTCCCATATGCCCTGGTCAGCATGGCCAATATTTGGAGATGATGGAAGTTTTAGTCCAAAATTTGTCCACCTTTACCCTGGACTGTTATGTTCTTCCTGGCCACGTATTTCAAGGTAGCTGAAGCAAAATGAGAAAAATAAGTGGGGATCTAGAATAAATGACAATCCTTGAATTGACCGTACCTCAGTAACTGGGTTCAGATGACATGCCATAATTTGTGGTGGGCTGTGGAATCTGTAAGGCAGCAAGTTGAATATGCAACTCCCATTTGAGAATTGTAGCGTCATGCAAACCTGGCAAGTGTGGGTTATGCGAGGACTAAAAAACCCTCACACAACCCTAAAACAGGCCATTCAGTTATGCAAGAGCTGCTTAGCCCTCTCATAGTGCCAGGTTGGCACAACCTCAGGCAGGGGTTACACATGCAATAAGGTGGCTGCACAATGGGCTGTCACATCATGTGAACAGCCCCAGTGGAAGGGCACACGCTTTGTATAGAAATGGTCCCCTGGCTGACTCCCCAGCATCTCCACATAGCTCTGGGAAAGACATTGTGGTTTCAGCCGGGATAGCAAAACTGAGGGAAATGGACCAATGTTATGGTTCAGTATTCAGCAACTTCCTGTAACCCCTTAAATGTATGGAGTGGATCAGCCCTAACCGTTTTCTTCAAATTTCGTAAGGTTTCAGCCCTGTTTGTTTTTCTTCCAGGGTGGCTCATTTTTAACAGTGGTGCGCCTAGTAGATCTCCGCCTGATCACAGGAATCCTGTCAGAAAAGAAAAAAATTGTTAGCACCGGTTCTGGCACAAAAAGCAGTTGTCTCTGGGCACACAGACAAGTGGCCTCTCCCCCTCCAGTCTTAGCACCTGTTTGTGGCAGTGGGAAGGCCAATGCTTGTTTTGCCCTGAGAAACTACCAGTGTGTGGGGCTGTGATGATGTGTGATGTACTGCAAGTGGCATTGCTTCCTTTATGGAGATGGTGACCTCTGTGTATTTGCTTTGCAGAATTCCTTTATGGGGTGGAGTCTTGATCACAATTGTGGACACTTTCTTCTTCCTCTTCTTAGATAAATACGGTACGTATTGAACGGGGTGGGGGAGTTCCTCGTGAGTGGGTTCAGCCAGTGGACTGTTCAAAGATTGTGTCACAAGATGGCTTCTTGGAGATCACCTCTGCACATACCTAGTTATTGCACTATAAAGAACGCTGGAGTTACATATTAACTGTGTTTGAAGCAGCCTCATGGCCCAGTTCCTCCTGCAGTGACACAGCATCTCTCATTTCTGTTTCCCTTCCAGGTCTCAGGAAGCTGGAGGCCTTTTTCGGCCTGCTCATTACAGTCATGGCAGTGACCTTTGGCTATGAGGTAAACTCATGCAGCCACCACCCACAGGACGGCAGGAACGCTTTCACTCATCCTTCTCCCAGTCCAGGCCTGCTGGAATCCCAGCCACCAGTTTCTGTTCCCTATTCCACATGCATACTGTCACCCAGCCCCCTATCGACTGTTAGTTCTCCAGCTTTTTTGCATTTTGTTGTTGCTATGTGCCATCAAGTCATCTCTGACTTATGGTGGACCTATGAATGTTCCATTTTCCTCATTCTAAAAGGTTGAAATGCTTCTCCTAAGGCTTCACTATTGGCAGTAAGTTTTAAGCTGGAATTTGCTAGCATGTTTGGCCTTTTGGCCTGCCCCTTTTTGCCTTTGGCCCCTCCCCTTCCCCTTTTGGCCCCACCCACCACTGAAAGTTCTCCAGAGTGGAAATAGGCCCTCAGGCTGAGAGAGGTTTGATGCCCCTGTTCTCCAGGCTGTCTTCAGTTGAACCTTGGAGCACAGGAGCACAAGAAGAGCCTTGGCAGGGCCTTCAGGAAGGTGAGAAGCAGAATGCAGGGGCAGCAGCACCGTCCCTCCCCTCACCCAGCTGTACCATCTGCCCCAGTGTTTGGCATCCAGCAGAATCCTGGTAGTGCTGCTGTATATGGAGGATGAGGTTCGCACCAGGTGTCATGCCGAAGAGCCAATGATGCAACGATGTCCCATGGTTTTGTTTAATGCGGGTGTGGGCACCTTGTGGCCCTCCAGATGTTTGGCTGAATACTCCTATCATCCTTTACCTGTGCCTGTGCTGGCGAGGCCTGGTGAAAGCTGATGGTTGAAACAACTGGAGGGCCACAAGTTACCTAGCTCTGGTCTAATGGTCTTTTTTTAAAGCCATCTAGGACAATGCAGGTCACCACCACATCTAGGGATGACATGCTCATCAGTTAATGGTGCAAGTGGCAAGCACTGGACAAATCTCTTTGTGCCCAATGCCAAAAAGCATTCAAACAGTGGAGCGTATTTGCCTGCTGAATCGGCCCATGTCAAAGGGGAATTTCCCCTCTTCTCAGAGAGGTGCAGAGCAGCACAATCCCTCATTCATCTAGTATTTCCAGAACAGCTGTGTGGCCACTTTAGTTCCCCTGTTGGCACTCCTGGCATGCCTGCATTATACTCTCTCTCTCGGGTTCTCTCACGTCTTTCTTCTCCTCCTGGGTCCATCTCATGCGTACTTTTCCCATCCTGCAGAACCCGAATAAATCTCCTCAACCCATCTCTCACTCACCTAGTATCCTCTTGATTCTCTCTCTCCTGCATTCTCCTATTCCAATCCCCAGGATCCCATGTGTGTTTGTGGCCCCTTCCCCTTTTTTTAGTGGGGGCCATTTGAAGATGCCCAACTCGCAGGGAGAAATGTGGGAAGATGGGCTGGCCCCATTTCGGATGGACGGGGTGGTAGCCTCACCTTCTCTGCTTTGCCTAACCTTCAGTCTTCCTTCCCTCTGCAGTATGTGGTGGTGAGGCCTAACCAGGCAGATGTGGTTAAGGGGGTGTTCCTCCCCTATTGCAAGGGCTGTGGGCACGAGCAACTCCTGCAGGCTGTGGGTATCATTGGAGCCATCATCATGCCCCATAACATCTACTTGCACTCTTCTCTTGTCAAGGTCAGTGTCTAGCACAACACAGAAGGGTTCCATTCCTGGGTGCAGGTTAACTTTCAGAGGAGCATGTGAAGCTGCCTTGTACTAAGATCTGACCACTGGTCCATCTGTCCCAATAGTGTCCAAGCTGATTGGGCTTCCAGGGTTCCTGGCAGGATTCCTTCCTGGCCTTACCTGGGGATCCTGGGGATCAAGCCTGCAAAGTTGTGCATGGAAAGCAGGTGCCCCACCACTGAGCTACCACCCTTTCCCCAGTCTTAGAGTCAAATAAGGCCTTCCACACCTCCAAAGTCATTCATGGAGGCTAGGAATTATGGTAGTCTTGCACCTCACAATGTGAAAGAGGACACTGTTGAATAAGAAAAGCAGAAGAGAAGGTGATCATCATTCCCAGTTGTCCGATAAGGCAGTCTGGAGAGAGTTTTGCCATGTAGCAGCCTACAAAATATAGGCTTTTGCTCAGGCCAACAGAAGTGGCACTTGCTTGAGCATGGGTAGGACTCATGTTCTCTAGTGGGGAAATACTTTGCATCCCTGGGCTGGCATGCCAGATCACCCCTGGCAGGTTTTATTGTGCAATGAATGCATAATTTTTGCACACTGACTTCCTTCACCCAGTGCAGCATGTTTTGGTCTGCAACACCCATCATCCTTATCATTGGCTATGCTGTAGGTCACACTTTCCCACTCCAATGCATTTGCTGAACTGGGCTATTGCATCTTGGAAGCGCTCAGAGCCCAGTTAGAGCAATACTGGGAGCGGGGATGTGAAATGCTTCCCTACATTACAAGAGAAATCCGTAACGCAGTTTCATGGGGCCCAGAATCAAATCAGGCAGCAGCAAAGGGGAAGGAATGTTTATGTTTTCTCTGAGGGCTCAAGATCTCCTTCCACCCAAGTGGTGGGTGAAAAGAGATTTAGAGCAAGTATTTTTCTCCTTACAGGTTAGAAAAGATCTTGGGGATGGGATGATTTGAGGCAGACATAAGAACCACAGAAGAGCCCCCTGGATCAGACCAAGGGTCCATCTAGCATTTTGTTCACTCAGTGGCCAACCAGAGCATGGGTACAACAGCACCCTCCCACCCATAATGGACAGCCTGCTAGGAAAGACTTTGGTATTTTCTCCATTAAATGCTGTACTGATCAAATTCCACCCCTGCAACCACACACACTAAAGTATTAAGGTGATTTTTATAAATCCGGCAGGGGACTTCAACACCTGCGACCATCTCTTGTCGAGTTTGCTTTTCAAAAAGTGGATCACAGGGACTGCATGCAGGGGGCTTCTCCAAGCACAGGCTGTGCCATACAACCGAGCCCCCGCATACAACAAATGCAAGCCATGGAGCACTTGCAGTGAATGAAATGAGAGGGAGGCGATTTAATCGCTGGAGTCTTCCCCAGAACAGCCACTTTAGACTATCTCCACACCCTGTCTTGCCTACTTTCAGACTGGGGGCCTCGCTGGGGGAAATAACTAAAAACAGTTAGGTGTGGAAGATTTGCAAGGAAGGATCCATGTCTAAAGATAAGCCCTTGCTCACTTCTGCTGATCCTCCCCTACAACACCCCTCTGACCCCCAAATTAGCATTAGGGGAGCACCCTTGGGTTGGGATGCAAGCTGTGGTGGAGCCAGGGCTTGCTGGGACACAGTGCCATGGCTTCCTTTATCAGCAAGGGTGATGATGTCACCTGCCAGTCCCCTGCAGAATTCCCTGTTCCCGCTGAACAATCTGTATGTGGCTTGAGGGGAGAGGGGATTAATTTCCCAAGAGGAATCCTGTTGGTCCCAACTGTGATGAGAAGTATTTTGCCTGGCTTGGTCTTGAAGGAGTAGTTAAGGGCCATTAACTGTACTCAAAAGCCTGCTCTTGGTGGAGATGGCAACTCCTAGCACTGGTTTGTTGACATGGATCAGTCCAGCTGCCTGAATTTTTGGACTTGCCTTGAGGGTGTGGCTACAGGGATGGTCATGATGAGCACCTGCATTTCAAAACTGACCACTGTGCCACCTGGACCTACCTCATAACATGAATCTCTATCTTTCATTAAGTTTTGAATTTCAGGTGGAGGGAGGGAGGCAGGCAGGCTGTTCCCCGTCTCTGGACTGAAATAAACATCTAGCCAAATTTTAGAGAAGGGAAAATGTGACAGCTGCCTGGGAAATGCTTTGCTTCTGCTGAAAGGCAGTGCTGAAAGTCCAGCGAGAGACTTTCAGCCAGTCCATAATGCTGGAATGGGGAAGGTAACGTAACTATGTAACCATCTCACTTTGAAAAGCAAGTTCTCCATTTCTCCTTACAAACGACAGATGAGTGGCGCGTCAGACAAAGTCACCCACATAGTCACAAGAGCAACCCCTACTGTAATGTTCTCTGGCTCCAGTATCTTTCCCTTGGCAGTGTGTGCGTGGAAGACAGGGGTCAGGCGATGGAGAGTGATGGAGAGAGCTGTGAGATGCCCTGTTCTTTCCTTACAGACCCGAGAGGTGGATCGCACAAACAAGAAGGCTGTGAAAGAGGCCAACATGTACTTCCTGACAGAGTCTACCATCGCACTCCTTGTCTCCTTCGTCATAAATCTCTTTGTTATGGCCGTCTTTGGGCAGGCTTTCTATCAGAAAAGCAACTCTGAAGTGGTAAGAACTATGAAGCCCTTACCCCCAGGAGTGGGCACCTTGTTGCCCTTGACATGTTCTGGCCTAAAACTCCCATGTGCCCCAGCCAGCATTACCGATAGGGAGGACTTATAGGAGTTGTAGCCCAAAAAAATTCTGGAGAATCCCTCATAGGAGTTGTAGTTCTCGAGATGCTTTTGGCCTACAGGTTGGCGAACTCACTCAAAACCGGCTGGGGTTAAAACCAGAAACCTGAAAATAAAATAAGAAAATATTAATAATAATACCAGAAAATGAGTCATGGCTAAGGAAAATTCAATTTTGTAAAAGCCTTCTCTGAGTAGCTTTTTCTGCAAAACTCATCATTTCTGCCCATTCTAAATGCATTACAACCTTCAAAATCATGCCAGGACACCTCGTTTTTCTAACCCTAACCCTATTCTGGTGCACACCCCTAACCCTAATATAGGGCGAAAATTCCATTGAAAATAATGCGATTTTGAAAACGCCTTACTTGAGTAGCTTTTTCTGCGCAGCTCAACATTTCTGCCCATTCTGAACGCATTCCAACCTTCAAAATCTGGCCAGGACACCTTGTTTTTCTAACACTAACCATTACCTTACCCCTGGTGCATACTGCTAACCCTAATAGAGAGCTAAAGTTGCATTGAAAATAATGCAATTTTGAACAAGCCTTAATAAAGTAGCTTTTTCTGCACAGCTCATGATATCTGCCCATTCTAAACACATTCCAACCATCAAAATTATATTATTTTGTTCTATACTGCTCTTATTTATTTACTATTGTGAGCCGCCCCGAGGCTTCGGCGAATGGGGCGGCATAGAAGCCTTCCAAATAAATAAATAAATAAATAAATAAATAGATAGATAGATAGATCATGCCATGACACCTCGTTTTTCTAACCCTTACCCAGTGATGGTGAACTTTTTAGAGACTGAATGCCCAAACTGCAACCCAAAACCCACTTATTTATCACAAAGTGCCAGAACTGCAATAAAACCTGCAAACAGCCAGTCCAAGCATCCATCCATCCATCCATCTATCCATCCATCCATCCTTGGCAGCACACTGACCAGCCATGCAAAAACTCGGACGATTCGCAGATAACTGGCCACGGCTTTTGACATCATCGCCTGGCACCACTGCTCCTTTCCTAGCATGCACATGGCCCCTGTGTGCGCTGTTATCCGATGCTTGGCTGCTGGGGTGATGCTGGGACGACTTGGCTCACTTGCCGACAGAGAGTGCTCTTCGTTCCCCCTTTGGCACGTGTGCCATATGTCCGCCACCACTGGTATAGAGAAAGGAGGAGGGTGGATTTTCCATTTAGTCAAGCAGGAATTGGCAGTCTCTTTGCTTCCTGCTGGAACCTGTTTGAGGAATGGCCCTCTGTATAATTGTTGGGTGAGGTCAAAGAAACAAGGACAAACTAGGGTGAAGAAATGCCGTGTTTCTTTCTGTTTCTTTTAACTGTGGCCATACAAGTTGTTTCGGGTGCAGCTTCTACAGGCCTGGGCCACTGGCTATGCTTACTAGGACTAAGAGGAGTTGCAGAAGACAACAGCCTGTATATCCCTGCTCTAACAGCTTTCTTTGAGTGGCTGTGAAGAAGAGATGCATTTGGCAGGAGCAACACTGGGGCAAAGCACAGCAGCCCTGCCCCAGGCAAAATAAGGTGGCAGCTTCAGACGGCAGACGTGGGGGGTGATGAGCAGTGGCAGGGAGTTGGAGGGCAGTGCTCCTGCACCTTTTAAGCTCACTCACTGTGCAGGATGCTGTCCCATTGCCAGAGCAGGAGTAAGCTTTAGCTCCCAGTCTGGCTGATTTTTATTCTTGGTCTAGGAAGGCACCATCCTGTCTTAGGCCACAAAATTATCTTGGGGGAACCAGCCCTGAGCAGTACTGAAAAACCTCCCTCTAACACTTAGGTAGGAGCTTTGTGCTCCATTCAGGAGCTCCATTTGAAGAAAGTTCTCCTTCATAAGAGCAGAGGAGTGATGAGGTCTGGCTAATTAAGGAGTGTGCATGATGCAACAGCAACAAACATACCTGAGGAATAAAGCTGAACGGCGTTATTTATTCTAAGGGATGCACTGCATTATGAACCGTTTCAGCAGCATTCCCCCTTCTGAACGGTTGGCTTGGCAATCCATTCTGTGGATCAGCTGAGGGGTTCCTTAACTGTGTGAATAATTGGGATGTTTATCCCCATAGATGTTGATTTTTCTTTTTCTTTCTTTTTTCTTTTTGCCGGTGTATTCCAGCATGAGGTCTGTGCCAACCAAAGCATGTTCACCAATCATAGCATTTTCCCCAACTTTCCTAATAACAACGAGACGGTCTCTGTGGACATTTTCCAAGGGGTAAGTTTCCAGTGGAATGATGTCAGCTTCCTTAGCCCCATTGCAGTGGGTGCAAAGCCAATGTAGAATTATAAGATTCCCATGTGGGCACGCTCTCTTGTTCCTTGAGTGCTGCTCTGTCCCCTTGGACTGCAGAAATGATGCACTGTATTCTGTCAGTGAAGAGAATGTTTGGGTTCTCGTGACACACGAAGCTACTGGGGGTAGCATATACTCTGAACCCCGTGCCCATAGGTCACTTATGAGCTTGCAGAGGGCTTTGGGAACCCCCCATGGCTTAGCATCTGTACCCAGCTGGCACACTAAGCCACAGCCAAGCCAAAAAGCTGGAGAGCCCCTTGGCAAGGGCAGCAAAAACAATTGACTTTCTAGCCAAAGGGCTCCAGTCCATGGCAGCCCAGCTCTTTGGGCACCTTGTGTGGCTGTCATCAGCTTTCCCCCACACTCCTGCCAATACTGTATCATTTACAAGTGGTTTTCTTTACAACATTCCTGTTTTCCCAGCACTGAGGCCACGGGGATCCACCAAGTGCTGCCTGCTGAACCCCTGTTCAGAAATTGGGAGGCTGGTATGCAGTGGGCCAAGAAGCCTTTCAGCTCTGTATCCTGTTGAGGCAATGGAATGGGTGTGGAGAGATCCTGCTCCCTTCCTCTGTCTCCCCAGGGAAATTGAGAGGTAAAGCACTACCTCTCCCTCCCATCAGCCAGAGCAAATATGAGCCCTTCGTGCTGCTGGCGTGAGGGAGACGGAGGGCTTTCCCCTGGTTTCTGCCTCCACCTGCCCACTCGGGACTTGGGGAGGGGCACATGGCAGTCACCAGCTTGCCCTGCCATCCCTGGTTGACATGCCAGCCAAGGGCAGGAGACTGTGGATGATGCATTTGGCTGGGCCTCTTCCTGAAGTGATGCAGCTCCACATGACACCTCCTGCTCTCAACTGCAGCTGAGATGGCAGGACGGTTGCCGCTGCAGGCAGGGGCAGAGGCAGCCTGTTCAGATGGGTCTACCGAGAAAGAGGCTCAGCCAAACACCCACTCTCCAGTTTCCCTGCCCCACGCTTTTGTGGATGCTTGGAGGGCAGGACTGCTCCAGAGCAATCCCATTCTCCCAGCATCAGCAGGGGTGCAGGACGTGGAAAGGGATGAAGGCTGATGGTGGACGCTTTGGGCAGCTGTCATCCCTTCTCCCCTCAGTGCTCCCACGGTGCCCCCTTGGGCTACACTGAGGACTGAAGGCAGAAGAGAGGGAGGCAGTATCGGGAGCCGTGTCTCTCCCTCCAACCAGCACCAGTCTCCAACTGTTCCTTGGCTTAATAATTTCTATTGATTCACATCAGTCTCTGGGCATGCACAATGTAGTATGTTGAACCCTATCTACTGCTCACTGCCCAACACTCTCCTTATGAACCCCTCTGCACCAGAACCCTGAAGGAGGTGCGCTGTGGAAACAAGCACACCTCATTCCACCCCTTGTGCTCTAAGTTGGGCTTCTTGCCCAACTTCCTGGTGTTGGCACCAAGCCACCAGGTCCACCTCCACAGGGGAGGATTAATCTCCATTGGAAAGTTCTCCTATTTCAATGTCCCCTCCCATGGGCTGTAACTCCCCATCATTTTCACGCTTGGTGTGATCTGCGTTCTGCAGAGTTATTTGTGTTTTAATTATGAAGAAGATAGGAAGGATTAAGCTGGCTTCTGGAGGAGGTGGTATGTTGAAACAGTGTGAGAGAATCCCAAATTGTGCACCATCCTACCTCCAGAGGCACACTTGGTCCTTCCTTGTAGGCCTTTTGCTCTTTTCTTAGAACTCTTTTTTCCCCCCTTTGAAACGTTGAGTTGATTTAAAGTTTCCCCTGTCTCTTCTCATGTGAGTCATTTCTAACTGGCTCTGGTTCTCAGCTGTCTTATTATGCTTTAATTATTTTAGGTTTTTAACTTGGGACTATGAGCTGCCTTTGAGGTCTTGTGCAGGGCAACAATTACTTTATAATATTATGATGATGTTTGCATGGTTTCCATGTGAGTGTGGAAAAGGGCAGAAGGATCATAGCTCAGTGGCAGAGCACCTGCTTGGCATGAGAAGCCTCCCAGGTTCTAATCCACAGGATCTCCAGGTGAGCTAGAAAAACTCCCGCCCTGAGAGCTGCTGCCAAGCAGTGTCAAGTATACTAGGCTTGATGGACCAAGGGTCTGATGCAGTACAAGGCAGTCTCCAAAATTCTTCCTAAGTCGGCACACTCTTCCTGTGTCTGTTTTTGGTACCATGGGCAGCTTGTGTGAGTGGTAGCTACATGTATAACCATTTAACACCATGGTTATTATTCTCTCTGTTCAGGGACTCATCCTGGGATGCTACTTTGGACCCATTGCTCTCTACATTTGGGCTGTTGGAATCCTTGCAGCAGGTCAAAGTTCAACCATGACGGGAACATATGCAGGCCAGTTTGTCATGGAGGTGAGAAACTGCGTGGGGCTCTGTCCACACATACCGAGTGTTGAGAGACCAAAGGTTTGGACGACACAAAAGCCACACTGCAGGGCAAGGTACAGAGAGTGGCTTATGAGCCACCATGCTTCAGATCTGCCTGGCAGATGACTGGGGCATCATGGATGGGACATTCCCTCCTCCCCTTTCTTCCCCAGTCAGTCCTCCTGCAAGTATCCTTGCAAATTATTACGAATTATTATCTCCCCAGACCAAGAAGGTGGTGACAGGCCAGGAACTGTTGAACTTGTCAGAGGCTTGCCTAGGGGTAAAACACCTGACTTCAGCCTGGGGTAGGCACTGCAAAGGGGTGGGGAACCACTCACTGCTCACCACTGGCTGTGACTTACCACAGGGTTCCTCTGTGCTAACCTGCCCTGCTAGTTGGACATTTTGAAGTAAAATGCTTTTAAAAAAGGGGGTGGCCACAGGCAGCCCCTGCAGCTTTGGCAACCAGCTTTCACAAGCTCCAAAGCTAGTTTTAAAAATCAAAGTTTTCTGGGATACCAGCAAGCAGCATTCCTGAGGAGGATAAAAGCTTTGTCAGCTGCCTCATCGTGCTGCTTGGGTACTTTTGGGTAGTTGGCAAAGGTAGCTGCCTACTAGCCCAGCCCTTTGGCAAGAGTGGCAAGGGTTTGTTGCCCTTTCTGACAAGCTGCTCACTAGCAGCTGGGCTTGACCCAGGATGGAACCCATTGTAGGTCAGACAAACCCAACTACAAGCCATGGGTTGGCAGAGTGATGTATAAGCCAAAACTAAGCCATGGTGGCTGGATGGAACTACCTGGTCATCTGTGCTCCAAGCAGTGCTAGGTAGCTCCATCTAGCTGCCATTTGAATTTTCCACAGTGCCTCAAAACAATGCAATGCTGGGCATTGTGGAAATTAAATTAGGGACCAGACTCAGTTGCAAAATGCGGCTCAGAGCCAAAGAAAGATACACTGAATGGGAGCCCAAGGTAGCAGCACCTCTGCATGGAGGCTGGGCTTCAACAGTTGTCCAAAGGTTGATGCCATTCCTAGATGCAATTTAATATAAGTTCCTTTCGAGATATACCCTGGAGCTGGTGCACAGATCAGTAATGCCACAGTTTCAAGAAGGGTGATGAATAATGATACAGAGGAGAGATTTCTCTGGGGATGTGCAATTAATTTTTCACACCGGGAAGTAATTGCATCCTGTAGGTTCCATTTGCCCACACCCATGCAGGTTCTTAGCCGAAATGACTTCCAAGACCAGGCACTGTCCTTGGCCAGAGACATCTAGATCCACCGCTGATTATTTGTGGCTTTGATTGACTCAAGGACCGGATGGATTGATTCAAGGAGGCCCAGGTTACCACTTAAGACCCTTATTTTAATAAACAGCCTTAGAATATTGTGGCTGCTAGTTTTTGTTTTAACAAAAGCCAATGTTTTGTTTGCTTGTTGAATTTATATCTCACATGTCTCCCATTGAAGAACTCATGCAGTTCCCAGGTGGTCTCTCCTCTAAGCTCAGCCCAGCCCAGCAAATATATACCTCCCAATAATACTGTTCAATACAAATAAATACAAGTGCTATGATGATATAGTAGTCCCCCAAAATTCATGGGGTTATGTTCCTAAAGGACCCACGAATTGTGAAAACTTCGAATTTGGTGCTGGCGATGGGCGCCAGCTGCCAAGGCAGTGCGGGCGGGAGGCGCAGGCCGGGCCGGGCTGGGGAGCAGGCACGTGGTGGGGCAGGGACAGGGGCAGGCATGCACAGAGATCGTTTTCTTTGAGCGAGTCCAAACTTGGAGGAAACGATCTCCTTGCAAGTAAGCTGCCACACAGCGAGGCACCAGCTTACTTGCAAGGAGATCAGCTTGGACTCGCTCGGAGAAAAATTCCGCAAAAGACTGAAGCCATGAACGCTGAACCGCGACTTCACGGGGGTGTACTGTATAGCAGTTATGAATTAATGTATGAAAACTGAATTAAGCAGTTGCTTAATAATCTGTTTGTCAAAATGTAAAAATTTGCAACAGGTAAAAATTTAGATTAAAAAACTTTCTTCTCTGCTTTCTTGAAACAGTTTTTAGGCCATGCATGAGTCACTGCTTTCCCAGGATGAACATATTTTCAAGTTGCATGGATAGATATATTTAGTGCTCTGGTCAAAGATTTAGTCACCAAAATTTAGGCCAGCTCTTCTTGTAGGCCACTGATGACTACTGATAACAAAACACATTTGGGCTACAGTGCTGTAGTTCTTATACTCTCTCTCAGTATATATTTAGTTATACATTGATTAGCACGCCACTGCTATATTGTTAAAACATTTGTATTTATTTGTATTAAATACAAATGCTGTGTGGGGGGTATTTACTTTTCTTAACTCTGGTATTTGAAGTTGGTTTAAAAACAAATGAAAAAAGACAAATGTGGATTTCGTTTTCAATTCAAAACTGAAGCACTTTAGCTCAAAATTTATTTCAATTTGGCGCTCAGGGCATCCTTTGCCAGCCCAAGCTGATATGATACGCCTTCTCCTATGGCAATGTTGCCATCTAGTGCCTATCTACCCTAACTGCAAGTCCACCTTTGATACAAAAACTGCTGGATCTGAACATTTCTGTCATTCTTATCCTGCCCAGGGTGACTTGCTCAGTCTGCAATTAAATTTCTTCCACATCCTGTGCTGGACCAGCACCAGCTATTCTTCCATAGGCGCCACAATAGAAAACAGAAGGTAGGGAGGGGACACATATCCTCTCTCATATTTAGACATGGACTGGATGCTCACAAAAATTCACTAAAAGAAATGTGGGTAACACGGGTGGCCAATGAACTCTTGCCTTAGAACAGGGATGGACAGAGAGTAGATTGCCAGATTGTTTATATTTCAACTCCCAGCATTCCTGGCAGTCCATGCTGAAAAGGGCTTCTAGAAGTTAAAGTCCTAACCATCTGGAAATCTATTTTTTGCACGCCTTTGCTTTAAAAGTATTCACCAAGCTTGCAGAATAGCAAGCATAAATTAGAAGTGGGAAGTAGAGGCCACCTCTACTTCCAGAAGAAGTAGAGGTGGCCACCAATTTAAAGGGGGATTGGGCAAATTCACGGAGAATAAGGCTCTCAAGTCTCGGTGGCTGCTAGTCCTGATAGCTGCCTGCTGCCGCCAGTATCAGAGGCCGTATGTCCATGCACGCGAGCTGCTGGGAACCAGGGTGGGAGGCTGCTTCTGTAATCGTCCTGCTGCTTGGCCGCTCGGTGAGCAGAATATGGGCCTAGGCAGAGCACTGGTCTGATCAAGCCTGGTTCTGGTGAGCTTTCCATATGCAGGGGTACCTCGGCTCACGAACGCCTCCATGCACGACCAGATCGGGTCGCAAACAGAAATTTCCTAAGAATTTTGACTCAGGTCACAAACTCCACGTTGGGTGGCAACCGTGATCAAGGCCACCTACCCTCCCCACACCCAAATGGGGAGATGGCCGCGGTCACGCCCATCTTTCCTGCACAAGCACACCCGTGATTGTGCCCATCTTTCCTTCTCAAGTGCAACCAGGATCTCAGCCATCCCCCCAGCACGATTTTGCCCTTCTCCCCCCCCCAGCGTGCCCGCATTCACGCCCGTCTCTTCCCCCCAGCATGCCCACATTTGTGCCCGTCTCTCCCCCCAAGTATGCCCGCGATCCCACCCGTCTCTCCCCCCCCAGCACGCCAGGATGATGGGCGCATGTAGGGATGATGGGCACAGTCGCGGTCGTGCTGGGGGGGCGGGGGGGAGATGGCTGCAATCTTTGCTGTTGTCACTTTGCTCCACATTTTTCTGATTAAAAAAAAATGGTTGCAGAATGGATTAACCTTATTTACATTGAACCTTATGGGGAAATTTAACTTGGCTTACGACCAATTTGGGTCTGGAGTCCTCCAGATATGTGGACCGGACCATGGCCAGCCAGCACAGGATCCTGCTGCAGTCCAGCACATCTGCAGTGCCTTTTTTGGGGAAGGTGGCACAGCTGGGTAATGGCCTGATCTAAAGAGGGTTGTTGCAATGATCCCTTGCTTTCTTCTCTGTCTCTCCACCTCAACAAGTTCTTACGTTATTCCCACAATCGGCTGTTCACACCTTCACCCTCCTGCAGTTAGTTATATTCACCACTGGGTGGCAGCTTCTTTCAAGACCGGTGGAGTTCATGCTGATAGGCTGTGCCTGTATTTCTTTGCCCTTTATGGTCTCTTTCTACAAGGCGAAGGTTGTAGAAAGAGAAATGTGAGGAGGAGGCAAAGGTGGTGTTAGCGGGCAGACCACTATGACTGGAGCCCTGCATCCTCCTTTGTAGCCCTGCATCTCTGGGAGACCACCTGCCCCGCACTCGGCTGTCCCTGGACACTTGCAGTAATGAAGGTCGGGGCCCTGACGAGATCGCGGTTGCATCTGATCCCACATGCACTGCAGCTCCTTTTGCCGCCTTGAATCTTTCTGCCTGAGGGTTCCCCGCTCCCCCTGGAATCAGATGCTTTCCTCTCCCCTGTCCATACATCCCTTTTTACATATAGGAGACGGAGTCAAAGGCACACATAAGAAAGACTTTAAAGCATGTGTAAATGAGTATGTACAGGTCGTATGCTTTTCTTTTCTGAGCCCAGATCTTTGTGGTCCCTAGCACAGTTCCTGCAAGGAAGACCTTCCAGGTGGGATGGGGTGATGGTTTGATAAATATGCCTTCATGTGCATCTATGGGATGTCAATAACTGCTGTCTGGTTTCCTCCAGGGCTTCTTGAAGCTCCGCTGGTCCCGCTTTGCCCGGGTGGTCTTCACGCGTTCTTTTGCCATCCTCCCCACTGTCTTTGTTGCTGCTTTCAGGAACGTGGGAGATCTGACAGGCCTCAATGACCTTCTCAATGTGCTGCAGAGCATCCTGGTGAGCTTCTCTTCCGCAACTGCACCCCTCTCCACCTGTAGGATGCCACTGTTTCTGGACCAATTGCAGAGTCCCATATGGCTCTCACCCTGCCCCACATCCAATAGGGCAGAGGCCTGCCAGACACTTCTGGGTGACAACTCCCAGAACAGGCACATCGGAAGCTGCCTTATACTAAGCCAGACCCTTGGTCCATCCAGCGCATTGTTGTCAGCACTGACTGGCAGCTGACCGCCAGGGTTTCAGACAGGGCTGCTTCCAAACCCTGTCTGAAGAAGCTGGGGAGCAGATGGAGGACCTTCTGCACCCAAAGCAGGGGCTCTGCCAGTGGACTCTGGCCCTGACCATTAACCGTTGGCTGAGATGTGCAGGAATTGTCCTCCAAAGGGGCTGGAGGTCCCCAGCCTGCCCACTTGGCTGCAGCCTGCCATTTGCCCCCTCCAGGGGGTTTGAAGCCAGGTGGAACTCTCATCCATTCCTGCTGGGGGGGTGGGCAGATAGGATTGACACCTTCCCCAGAGGAAAAGAAACCTGGGCATCGTTCCTTTGCTCATAATAACTATCAAAACTCATGCATTTAATTAAAACATGCCTTGAAATGATCCAGGGACTAGCTTCCCACAGGAGGATTCCAGAGAGGCTCTTCAAATGTTTGGAGGGTTCAGGCACAGAAGGGAGCACAGGCGTGTTCTCTGCTGCCCCATATGCAAGGACCAGAACCAATGGGCTTAAGCTGGAGGCTAGCAGATTGTGGTAGAACATTCTCGATGGGAAGAGCAGTATAACAATGGAACCAGTGCCTGGGGAAGCTGTGGGCTCTCCCTTCCTAGAGGTCTTCCTCCAGCCTCGCCCCACTGGAGTTACAGAGCATGGAAGTCAGCTGGTGCCTGGAGGAATGGCTCCTTTGGCTGTGGCTGCAGCCGCCCTTATGGTCCCCAGTCACCGAAAGGAAGTATGGAGAGAGGCTGACTGGGCTGCAGCCTCCAGGAGAGCTCCTTTTCTGTCCTCAGAGAGGGTGGGATTTGGGGCTGGGGATGGAGATGGGCCTCAGCCAAGGCCTCTGCAGGCCAGGGAGGGTGATCTGGAGGGCCAGATTTGACCAGTAGCCAGAGGTTCCCCATGTTTGCTTTAAGACGCCCTCCATCTCCATGGTTCTCTGAGGTGCTACTGGCCTGCTCAGGTAGCCTCTGTGGATGGAGAGATGTCATGGGGCCAGCGAGGGCCCCTTGAGATACCAGGGCAGGGCTAGGCTGAACTACATTCCCAGTTAATGGGCAACAATTCCTTGGCAAAGATCCCTTAGTCTACTGTTGTGGAGTATAGAGTATATATTTTGGAAGCTTCCAGGATGGAAAAGGAGAAGAAAAAGACAAGAGGGGGTGCAATGTTAATTTTGTGTGTCTACCCAACCTGTTTTCTTCTTCCTGTTTCTAGCTCCCCTTTGCTGTCATACCTGTTCTCACCTTCACCAGCATACGGCCTCTCATGAATGACTTTGCTAATGGAATGTAAGTTGCCCTGCCTGCAAAGGATCTTCACAAGCAGCTGGTGTTTGTGATGGGATGTTTCCATAAGAAGGGATGGCTGTGGAACTAAACTAAAGTCCCCATTGTGATCTTTCCTTTGAAAGATTCCTGGTCTGTATAATACACTCCACAGCCCTTAACTTGGCATTACTGAACCCGGCACTTCACCACCAGTTTGTCCTAACCCTGGAGAGGGGCACCCCTGGCCCACCAGATATCAGTGGATTGCAGCCCTTGGCAGCACAGGAGTGCTGCGGGGGCGGGGGGGGGGCACACATTCCTCCACCCTGCCCAGCTGGTCTCTTCTATCACAGCCCAGCTCGGCCTTGTTTGCCTTCCTTTCCATGTTGGCAAGTTCCCCTTTGGGCTTCCTGCTCAGGAAATGTCCAAAGCCTGCTAAAACGGAACAGTGGTTCTGTTTTCAAAATAAAGAAGGCATTTCTCATTTTGTCTACAAGATTTGGAAGGAAAGGGAGGCTGTAGGGTTTTGCTGGCTTTTTAGTTATTTATTCATTTATTTTGAGGGCAGGGGTGGAGGCGACCATGGGTTTAAACTGATGGAGAGAGGCAAGGAACAGAGTGGGGAGCTCTCTGTAATCTATGGAATTGCCACTTTCTGATCCCTGGAAACCTTTCTCAAAAGTTTTGTGACAGTTTTAACACTATCCTCATATATCCCAATCATTTGTGTACATAAGGGCTAAGAACATAATTTTTCTTAACCCTGTTCAGATATACCAGCAAGCCAGAGCAGTCGAGAATTGTAGGCTATCGTACACACAATGCATTCTCAAAAGACTAGGAGACATGAGGGAAGAATGTACTGAAAGCACCACACGATTATAGAATAGGCACAGGCTGCCCAGTAGCCCCTGCTTGGCTTTTCCTGCCAGTAGAAGTGACTGAATTATCCAGAAGCAAAGAAGAAGCAAAAGCAGTTGAAGCTGCATTCAGAGCCTGGCTTATCACCCCCTTGACAAACCATTAAATTCAGACACTGGTTTGTTAGGTGAACAATAAACCAGGAATCCTAGTTTGGATGTAATGGGAAGCTGTTGCTTCCTCATTAGTGTCAGGTTAGTTTAGCCAAGGGGTGGTTTAGCAGTGCCCTTCAGGTGTTGCTGGAACAGAAATTCCCATCATTCCTGACCATTGGTAATGCTGCCTAGGGCTGATGGGGCTTGGGGTCCCCAGACCGTGTTAAGCCAACCCCACTCATAAAAGGCATTCAGTGAGGGCGATCAGGCAGCTTGCAGATGCAAATCTCTTGCGAGTGACAAACCGGAATTCTTAGCTCCCCCTCTTATCAACTCATCCCAATGCAACCCACAAAAGCACGCCTTCTCCAGTGTTGTGCTCACACACCAGCATGTGCTTGGAATGTACCTGTGCCTGCAATCCACTCCCAATTCCCCTCCAGATTTTTCTGCACATCACTTAGAAATGTTTTAAAACAGGGGTCTCGAACTCAACTTACCTGGGGGCCGCTGGAAGTAGAGGCTGGGTGAGGCTGGGCTGCATCAAGTATTCCACCACCGCGGGGGTGGTGGGCCGCTCATCCCACGGCCGGCCCAGGTGCCACCAGCGCTTTGAAGGCCGCAGGGCCCCTCCCCCGTGCCCCGCCCACCCTCAGTACCTATTAAGCACTTATGATTCTATTACTTTATACATAAGAAATTACGATGCTGATAGTTAGAATGATTACCTTGAACTTCTCGGTCCTCTCATGTGTTATTCTGTTTGGGTACCATTTAGAGTAGCACAAGCCACTGGGAGCTGAACTGTATCACTGGAAGTATTTTGCTCAGTTTCATTTTATTATTTTATTTTGGATTCATTTTGTTTGTATCCCACCTTTCTTCCAAGGAGTTCACAGTGGCATTCATGATATTCCTCCACTGCCTTCACATTTACCCTCTCAACAGGTTGTATGTTAGGCTGAGAAATGCTGACTTGCCAAGATCAGCCAGTGAGTTTCATGGCTGATGGTAGCATTTGAATCTGGACCCAAAAGATTGTTTCCTCCATTGACTATAAACCAGGCAAGAGCTATTTCAAGAGCTAAAGGAAGATATGAGTTGGGAAGGTGTGCTCAGCTTGTTCCATGTACGTGGATTATCTCCCTACCATCACACTTCTTTCATTTGTTTCTGACACCCAAAGAGAGGCCATTATCCTTTTGAAACTTCTATAATTTTGAAGGACTGCTACGAGCGCTCTCAAAAAATGAGAAGGCTTGCCCATTCACAAAATCGCGGCCATGGTGGACCTGTCCAATCACAAAACAGCTGTTTACCAGAAGGTGAGGCAAAAGGTGACTTGCCTAGGAACCAAAGTACAAGGCAGAGCTGATGCTGGAGATCCAACAAGTTTTCTGCCCCAGCATCCATTACACAGAAAGCAAATTGAGGCTTGTCCAAGAACAAGAGTACCAGATGCCAAATCATCATATATTTGCCCCATGAAAAACAGGACACCTATGTAGGGCCCAGGAACCTGGTCCTGGAGGTTGGTCCTCCACTTTGCAGCATGTTGTCTTCCCAGTTATTGCTATTATTTTTAATTAAGAAGCATCAGAAGGGGTAGGATGCCTGGTGAACCTCGAGGAAAAAAGAGTGTGCTTGCGGAGAATTGCTGCAGGGACAAATGCAGGATGATGGTTTCACAAGCCTCTTGCTCTCCGATGTGGAGCTTCCGCGTTCCACATTCTGTGCAAGTGGCAGGGGTGGATTTAAGCAGTTCTTGGGTACTGGGAGATGTGGGTTTTCTTTGATAGTCATGACCCTCTCCTGGTCTCTGTCTCTGACCCTCCATTACCATCCTCTTCTGCTCTCCTTAGCATGGGGAAGATCCTCATGACTCTCATCACTGGACTTATCTGTGCCATCAACCTCTACTTCGTGGTGACCACCATAATGACCCTGCACCAGTTGGTGTACTACATTGTCATCTCGTTCGTCCTAGTTGCCTATGCAGCCTTCGTCTGCTACCTGGTAGGAGAGATTCACATTTTGGCATTATAGAAATGTACTAAGAATCTGACGATTACAGATAAATCAGGCTCCATCTGTGGCACCAGGCCAGGCTCATTCCAAATTAGGCTTGATAGCACCAGGGATAATAAATTATATCAGTCTATATATGAGGGTTCTTCAAAAAGTTTCCACAATTTTTCAAACTCTATTAAGAATTTCAAAAACAAATTGCATCACTTTTCTACATTGTCACCTTCCTTTGCGATGCATTTTTCCCAGCATCATACCAACATTTTAATGCCATTAGCAGAAAGTATATAAATTTATAAAATATAAAAGTGCGGAAACTTTTTGAAGACCCCTCGTACTATATATTAAGGCGGTTCTTGATACTTGGGCTTAAATTATCATCACAGCAGCACCCCCACAAAGGATAATAATGATTCTCCAAGTAGTGGCTTGGGATTATGTGGCCAGAATAGGCCAAACCCTGTGAATCATCTTTTGCTTCCCGTTTCCTCCAACAATAACCAGCAGTGGCCTGCATTACAACATGGCTGGCATCTACCAAGCACTGCCCCTGGGCAGCTTCAGGGTTCCCCCTGCTGGCCAAATACCAGAATATCATAGCCTGGTAGTTGCAGGACTAGTTCCAGACTCTGCTGCAGCTACCAGGGCTTTCATGAGCACCATTTAAGAAGTGGCTTTTCCCTCTGGAAGCTGCCTCAGCCATGCTGGTCTCCAGTGTGCTATAGCGCCTCCTCGCTCATGTTGACTTACCAGCTCCTGACTTCTGGCCTGCTCTGACTATGCTCTTGCTTACTGGACTACACCTTGTCCTGTTCCTCTGTTCACTCCCAGCTTTGACCTTGGCTTGTTTTGGAGTATGACTTGGACTCAGTTTGAGCTAGGGATTGAACTCTGGCCTTGTGCCACCCTGACTGTGTTGCCTGGGTCCTGCTGCCTCTGTCTAGCTTCCTGCCCCAGACTGTTTCAAGCACTAAAATGCCGGGGTACCCACCATCGTTCTTGACAGAGCAGAGGTAGGCAAACTGGCACCCTGCATGGGCTTTGGATTGTAACTTCCATCATCCCCAACCACAAGCTGGGGCAAATAGGAGTTGTGGCCCAAGGGGTCCCAGGATGGGGGATGACAGTGCCTGAGAGCCTTGGTCACAAGAAGGGTGGATGGGGAGCAGCAGTTATAAAAGAACTGAGAAACCGGTCCAAAAGAGTAGGGGTAAAAGAACCAGAGGGGTTATTGTTGAAGGGAAAAGTAGGAGAAACAGAAGACTGTTTGCCGTGGTTGGAAGGCCTCTTCTTTCTTTCTGAGTTGTATCTTGCTCCATCTCCATTCTAGATCTGGACATGCCTCATCTCACATGGAGTTACATTCCTGGCCCGTGGGCCCCACACTCAGTTCAATTACGGGCTGCAGTGACAGGACATTCTCGGCACTAATTAGAAGAACCACCACACTCCTCCTCTACCAAGACTGGAAGCAGCTGTCTTTCTGGGTCTGCCAAGAGGCAGAAGTCCCAGGATACCGGCTCCCATTGACCAAGGATGGGATTAAGTTTTGGCTTAGCAGCAGAGCACATACTTTGGATGCAGAAGGCTCTCTGGCAACCTCCAAAGAATCTTCAGCCTCTGAAGAGCTGCAAACCATCACCACGGATGCTCCTGGACCCTGTATAACAAGGATGTTGAGCCTCTTTCAGCCTGAGGGCTGCATTCAAATGCTTTGGGCTGCACTCCAGCAGAGGTCAGGCCCAAGGGCAAAGGGGGAAAGACCAAAAATATAGTATGCTTTAGTTTAGTATTTATTCTTCGAACTAAACAATTGAAGAGTATTCAACCTTTTGGAAAGGAGAAAGGACATGAAAGCCAGGAAACTACCAAACAGTCTGCTTTTGAGGGGAAGGGGATGGGACCAAGGAAGAGGGCATGGCCATTGGGAACCGGGGAGGGCCAGGCTGAGGACATACTGGGCCAATTTTGGATCATGGCCTTGAAGTTCAACACGCCCGTTCTAGTAGCAGCTTCCGGATAGGCTTGATGAGTGGCAGATTCTAAAGCTGTGCTGCAAAGAACTTTCATCTGTGGATTTTGACAGACAGTGGCACAAAAGCTGATTGGTTTATTTCTGGTCAGATGACAGCCTTTTTGCCTCCTGCAGGGGACACTGGCCATCACCAAATGAATGATCTAAAGAGCTTCTCACAAGCATGTGAAAAGAAAGGGGGGCTGTTTACCTGGTCTCCGCTGCCTCTGATTTTATCTCTGCCCTGTGACCAGCTTAATCTTGTCCTGAATTCAGTTTTTCCACTTTAAGTCAGCCTAAAATAAATCAGCTATACTGGATGGGGCTGATGGGAGTGGTAGTCCAACACATCTGTCAGGCATCAGGTTTCGGAAGACTGAGTTAAGTACTGGAAATTATATGAAAAATTATATAAACTAAGCTTTTGTGACTATTAAAACACAAGTTTTTACAAACCAAGAATTTGTTTTATTTGTAAGATCAAAAGATAATCAGATACCTTGCTAGAACCAGGAACATGTGCATCAAGTTGCACATTGATATGTGCATCAAGTTGCACATTGATATGATTGCTGAAAAACAGGTGTTAGGGGGAGCTTTCTTATTTAAAATTAAGTTACTAGTCCACATTGCTGTTTAAAAATTCTATACAGCTTTCCAGAGTACAGGGTGTGTTAGAGTTAATACATTTGTCTTCATAATAGGTAAATAATGATTGACTTCCTTAAGGCAATTCAAATATAATAACTGAACAGTGATTTAAAACAGGAAACCATTCACCATGACACTGGGCCTGCATTTTCAAACAACAATAAATCAATTAATACTTTAAATCAGTACTGATAACTTGCGTTTCAAGGGAAGCCCTGTGAACTGCTCTCTCCAACTTTCCTGAGTGCACAGGTTGCCCAACCTGCTATTCATAGCACAGTCTTATTCACGTTTAGGCAAAAAATATTTCCAGAACTCCCAGAGTCCTAGGATTTTTTCTGTCTAAATATGCATAAGATAATTCCCATTACGTGACAAATGATATGCATATTAATTGCATTCACATGGGTGATCAACCAGTGGCCCACCAGATGTTGTTGAACTTCAACTTCCATCAGCCTCAGCCAGAATGGCCAACATTCAGGAGTGATGGGAACTGTAGGCCCACCCTTGATGCACTGTGATTACTTTGGTCCTGCAATGATCTTCTTCCTTTGGCCACTCTGCCAGACTTTCCTGGCAAGAATGTTGCTAATTCTTAACTTATAAATCCCCAGGTCCTCAGTTTGCTAGTGCAGATCAGGTCTAAGTGAATTAGCAGCCCCTGGAGATGCCTCGGTCCCAATTAGTATCTAAACTGCAGGCACTTGGGGACCCCAGAAGTGGAAATCTGCCGCACAGGCTTCCACTCTAAGCACTAGACTCGCTGTCTGCCATACTTGGACAAATGTGCAGGGTAATGGGCCTCCTAATCCTTTGGTTTAATGCCTTGCCTCCTTTGCTTTAATGCCTTGGTTCAACGGCTAAGCAATGAGGGGTAATGAGAAAAGTATCTCATGAATTTCTTCCTCTCCGATTTTAAATGCATAGTGCTTCTTTCAGGAAAAACCTGTGCCAAATGTAAGCGCAACTGGGGGGAGTTCACAGACCCATCCCAACAGATGGGACTTCTCTCCCACATCTCAGATTTCTTTGGATTCAACTCTTCTGGTTGCTTCCTTGATCTTCTCCTCCCATCTTACCCTTCTTTGGAGATCTTTCTTCATGCAAAGTGAAGACACACCAGCAACATTTTTTGAACCAAACAATTGCACAGAGAGACTCAAAGGCAGCTCTCCCACAGTGCTGACATGCACAAAAAAAATGAGTGTTCATTAAGAATTTTTTAAAATTGACGTATTTCATGTAAATTATTTTAGAAAATCTGCACAACAGCCTTATAAGGTTGGAACCAGTGCAAGAGGATAAGACTGAAGCAGTGGCCTACATAAGACCACACCTAGATGAGACTGACAGGAGGCCTGTGATCAGATGGACCTGGGTCTCCGTGATTTGGGCAGGGCCTCCAAGGGGAGGGGAGGGGACTTTTTACACATTCCGCTTTCCTGATCGGAATCCTCCGCTCCATTGCAGCCTCCCACTTGTACCTACAGACGGCTACAAGTTCTGCAAAAGCAAAGTACGCAGAAAACCCCAACACCTGCTTTGCTTCCCCAAGCAATCCCCGAAAGGAAGGCAATGCGGCACTTCTCGTTCTCCCATTCTTGTTATCAGGTAACTGTGACCTCCTCCCGCTGACGGCCATTTGCTAAACTCCTTTTGAAGGTGGTCACATCCATGCACTAGCACCAGAACAGGCATTTACAAAGCAGTGCAGCAGGCAATGGCATTTTGCAATAGGCAAGGAAACGAAATGGACAAAAATGCTTGCCTTTTGGGGCAACCTTTTTTGGTGGTGAAGGACAAGCAGATAGCCAACCGCTGGGCAACCTGGCTAGGGGTGGTAACTGCTCTCATCCAACATGCCTGAGGGTATAACCAGACTGACCAAGGCTGCTCTAGTCTCTTCCCTCTGTTTATGAAACCGGCTATTCAGGAAGTCCATCCTGAGGCTCACAGTGTCCTTTAAACTTCCACAGCAAGAAGCCAGAACAAATGGAAGCAAATAGCAAGCCCTGCGAGGTGCTGAGGACAACAAGCAGGTGCAGCCCATGCTCTGAGCTGTAGTTCAGCACAGCTGGAGGGCACCAGATTGAAGAAGGATGCACTAGACTGATCTGGCGTATTTTATGAAGGTGGCTGAGGGCTAGTTTATACACTAGAATTGAGCAGTGAAGCAGATGCAGCATCTTGTTAAATGTCTCCCGTTTTTTATAGGCAAAAAGAAAAGGCGCACATATGAGGGAGAAAGGTTTGTCTTAGCTTTCTCTCTGATGCATTATTTGCCTATACATGGGAACTTTTTCCATGGAAAAGCATGAAAGATAAGTGAACCCTACAGTTAGAGCTCAAAGTGATGGCCTGCTCTTCATTCTCTTACCGCACACTCAAGCCTTGCTACGTGGTTCAAGAGCATGTATATATAATCTGGCCATAACTTTTCCAGACATAGGGAAGTTCTTAAGGTCATCTAATGTATTGAGCTTTTAACTCACTGCACCAGCAGCACTTCTAACTGAAACAATGCAGGTATTGTAAGGCAAATCAAGAACTTGATACAGAGAGGAATAAAGGCCAGGAAAGGTAAGAGCCCCTGGAAAGGGAAGAAAGAGCCAGGTGGTGAAATCTGCTGTTTGTAACAAGCCCAGAGGCATTGTTAGTGCCCTACGAAAACCAGGAAGCTATGCAGGGTGATCCCACTGACCTCACCAAGAAAGGGGGGTAATAGAAATGGAGCACAATTGAACAGTGCAAACTGGCAGGCCTTGTGGCAAGTCCTCCAAGCAACTGCCTTGCTGTCTCCTGCAGCTTCATCAGCAGCTACAGGGATCTGAAGGAGGAATGAGACCCCACAGTTGGTGTGCCGTGATCAGCTGCCTCTATACAGCAGGGATCCCACGATTTCCAGTATGGGAAAGCATTTTCTGGAGGCTGAATGCCTATGCTCACCAGTTGCTGTGGAACCTGGGTGAGAGGATGCTGATGGCCCACTTGTGGGTTTCCTGAGGGCAGCTGACTGGCTGCTGTGTGAAAAGATCCTGGGTTAGATGGACACTTGGCCTGACCCTGCCTGGCTCTTCTTATATTCTTAAGAAGAGATCTGGAGATTTCAAAGGCTAGCAGTTTTTTTCATCTTTGAGTTGTCCTAATATAGGAATTGCACTAAAAGGATTTTGGATTTTTTTTTTCTCAGAGCCAACACAGCTGCCTTTGTATTATTTTTTTTTCAATCTCACTAGGAGCCCTAAAATTCTAGCTGTTCTACTCTACATCAGGGAATTCAAGAAAGGTATTCCAAGACTGCCTTTAACAGGATATTTATACAGCTGCAAATGCCTTGGAACTCTCATAGGTAATGTATTCCACATGGATTCAAAAAATGCCGAATGAAATCATGATGCCCTTCTATGCAGGCTGCATTTTACATGTCATTTATCCCAGGAATGGGGAACAGGAAACCTTCTAGGAGCTATTAGCCTGCAATTCCCATCACCCCTCACAATTGCTTGTGCTTACTGTGGCTGATGGGAGTTATAGTATGTCATGACAACATGGAAAAGGCTTGCTTGGCTGGATTTTCCAGGTTGCTATCACTTCACCTGTGATCTTTCAAGAGATTTCCTGAGACCTCTAAATGGGGAGGAAGCATTTGCAGGTAATGATTAGAGGTGGGTTTGTTTTGTTGTGGTAAACTGAAAGTTTGTAAGGCATTTTTCAGTTGCACTGGGTGGGGGTGATTCACAGCTAGACTCACAGTGCAATCCTACACAAGTTGAGAAGGTGAAAAAAGGCCCACGGTTCTCAACATGCCACAGGCAGCCTTCAAAAAGGCCTACACTTGGAAAATTCCGGATTATTTTTAAAATCAGTAATTTTTAAAAGGCTTTTTGCAACAGGCTTTTTAAATATAGTCTTTCATCAACATCCAGAGATACTGATGCTGAGGAATGTTTGTCTGGCCCCCAAATCCCAGTGGAAACAAGTGCATGCAACTAAATAATGTTTACCCCATTCACGTCCCTTCCTTGCTTTTCTCTTGGGTTGGATCCAGAATTTGCATTCCAGTGGCAGAAGGACTCCACTCACATAAGGTACCTCAGCCTGGTTTGGGAGGATCAAGAGCCACACCCCAGGTTATCTCTCATCCTGGGTGGGGTGCAGCATTTTCAGGGGAGGGGGCAGAGAAGTTTGCTTGCTTAAATCTGCATCCTCCCCCTCCTGTCTATTGTTAGATTGCAAGCCCCCTGGGGTAGGAACCTGTCAAACCAGTTCCTTGTAAATCCATTTACCTGGATTGTGCTAGATAAATGAGGAAACAACCTTTAAAAATGTCCTCCAGCCTTCCTATCATGCTATGTTGGCTGTTTTGGCTCTGATTTCTGTCCTCTTTCAGACAGGGATAAATTGTGGGATTTTTGATAGCCATGTGAATCCAAGAGCTTTAAGAAGGCTACTTCAAGATGGTACCCTACAAAGACGGCGGAACTGGCTGCTACAAGAAACAATTATTCAACAAGTCTAGGAAAAGCATTGCTAGAACTGAGCACCTGTGCAATTAAAAAAGTCAAAGCTTCCAGGGATATCTGCAACAGCCATAATTATGTCACACCCAAGAGCCTGGCTCTTCCACCCTAGGTCTCAAGGAGCAAGCAAGAACATAAGAGCTGTGCTGGCTTAGACCAAAGGCCCATCTAGTCCAGCATTCTGTTCATGGAGCAGCCAAGCAGTTCTTCATGGCTTCCCGTTCACAGGACATCTATGCAAAATCACCCCTACCCATGCTTCGCAGGAACTGCTGAACATAGG